ATTGAGGGGGCGAAACCTCTTCGACGTCCTCCACGTCAACCTCCTCGGAGGAAGACAGGAGAAGCGTCGAGCCGTCACCCTGGGAGGAAGTAGCCGCAGAACGGACTTCCGAACCCAGAGATCGGGCACTGGATCTGGTGGGTGAGGAAGGAGATAGGGACTCGCCCGTCTCCATTCCCTCCGCCAGATCCAACTGCGAACCCCACGAATGCAGCCGCCGCTCCGACTCGACGGAAGCGGGGCCAGCACCGCGAGGAACGCTGGCGAAGGCTCCCTCCTCAAAGAGAGCCCTCCGGGAGCGAAGCGTACGCAGTGGGAGGCGCTCGCAATGCGGGCAGCCGGCCCCCTCAAGAGGCGACTCTGCGTGCTTCGCTCCCAAGCAAATCATGCACAGGCTGTGTGTATCCCCACTCGTGATATAACGTGGGCAGGGAGGAACACACAACCTATAACGTGGCTTGCACTCGCCCTTTGCATGCTTTGTCTTAGCGTGAGCCTTAGACATAGCTGCTTATTAGACTTTTTCTCACAATAGACAGACAACAATAAATATGACTGACACACACAGACACACACTGTCATTCTGCTGAATGACAGAAAGCTGACGCTGGCCCCGCCGCACGTGCTTTTATAGCTTCCTGGTCATGACGTCATCCGCCGTGACGTCCCGTTCAGCTATTGGACTGATTTCACATGTGATTCAGAGCGTGGGTCGCAGAAGGTGTTCCCCTAGCGTTTTCGACGCAGCTCAAGTTCCTGAAGAGGAACTGAAGGGGCTGAGAGTTTTAATATAATTGAAAAAAAAAAAAGCTCATAAATATTTGATAAATATTGCCAAATATCATAAATTCCCCTCGCAATACTAACTAGTAATCAAAAATATATTACATAGATTTTCCTGAAAAAAAAAAAAAACACTTTCAAGGCTTCTGTCACGTTCACGTTCAAGTGTGACCCAAAAATGAAGGGGCCTAGAGGGTTAAGCAAATTTAAATAAGGTGTACTGAGATGCTTCTGTTCATATTTATTTGTTTGTTTGTTTATGTACTTATTTAATTATTTATTTAATTTAATTGTATTTTTAGGGTGAAAAAGGAGCTCCTGGAATCAGTCCAATGCCTGTAGGTTCATATTAAGATAAATGATCTTTAAATAGTATTAAATTACTCATCTGTTCCAAAAGTTTGATTGTTTTCCTTCTGTCCTTATTTTCTGCTTCTGAACGTCAAGGAATGTGACCTGGTCGAACACATACGCAAAAACTGTCGTAAGTTCAGAGCGCCTAATATCCAAAGAATGCCAAGCAGAATGACTGCTAGTGATTTTAGTCATTAGCATTATCTCATTCAATTATTTTATTTCTCTCTTCGTGATCTCTTATATGTGCCATTTAGCTTTCTGTATGTTAAACCTTGAAATCATTTGAAATGCATCTAAATTTTATCTTTCATTTTGTCTCCACAGCTTGCTGCTCCGGTATGCGTTGCCTTACACTTTAACATTTCAGTGCCTCATTTATTAGTAACTTTTTGCGAATTGTAAATTTTATTTATTTATTTTTTTCTTTTCCAAAATGCTTTCAGGTAATGGTACCCGGTGTCCAGTTTACCCCACAGACCTGGTGATAGCATTGGACATGTCTGCGGGTGTGACTCCTCAAGTGTTCGAGCGGATGAGTTCTGCGGCCCAATCTTTATTGGAAGACATTTCCATTGCTGAAACAAATTGTCCATGGGGAGCTCGAGTGTCTGTGATCTCCTACAGCAGTGAGTCCAGGAACCTGATCCGTTTCACAGACCACCTTAAGACGAAGAGCCTTCTGGAAGCTGTAAGAGCATTGGCTTTTGAGAGAACCACAAAAACCAGAGACATCGGACAAGCCATGAGCTTTGTGGCCCGGAACATCTTCAAACATGTCCGAAAGGGCAGGCTTATGAGGAAAGTGGCCGTGTTCTTCACAAACGGGCCGTCGAGGGATGAATCGAGCCTTGCAACAGCCATGTTGGAGTTCAAGGCTGCAGACATTGGCCTCGGAGTGATCGCCTTAAATCCTGCTGATGATGTGAGCCGAGCAATGCAGGTAGATAAGAAAACATCAGATTTGCAAATGCAAAAAATGCAAGTCACCTTCATTTATATTTATTTATATTACTCCACAGTAATAAACGGGAAAATAAGTGTTAATGTTGCAAAGTTCTTCAAATACAATTTAAGCTGTAAAGTAGCACAAAACAGACAATAGTGTCATTATTCAACTCAATTTCATCAAAATTTCAAATTTCATCAATTATAAAACAAGCTTAATTCAGCTAGAAACCAGCTCTACAAAAGTCAATAGTCTCGTTATTCAGCTCAAGTCAGATCAGTGTTGATTCAATTCACTTTAGATCATTTTAGTTCATTTATGAAAATTATTTGAATCATCATTAGTGACTGTGATGACAACGAATGAGTACTACACTCTTTTTGGTAGCTGAAAGCAGATGAGCTCTAATATTTAATAAACAAATATACAAGATGTAACAATTTGTGGAAAACTGTGGAACATTTTGCAGATTTCTGTGCCCTCAGATTTCCATGGAATTGGAATGTCATCATTCCCAAAGTTCTGCACATCCATTTGCATGTTGATAATTTCTACCTCAAATATCTGTCTCAGGTTGATGACACAGGAAGCTACATTATCGTTGATGGCAGAGGAGTGAATCGCATTAAACAGTGCATCATTTGTTTTGGTAAGCTCCAGTGCAGACATTCACATTTGATCCTTTTCATCTCTCTGAGCATCCAAACATTTAAAGGAATAAAATTGAAGACTCTCATCCAAAACCTACGTAGATAGCATTTTAAGTAGTCATAGACAAGGTTCTGATGCAAAGTGTAAGCCATTCCAAAATGTACGCAGCATTACGCTGCCTCTAAAAATACCTAATTTTATTCAGCTTCTAAGGGAACATTCATTCAAGGTCTAGAAATGCATTTTTTACAAGATGACTTATTTTAACTTGAGCTCTGTGTTTTAGAATATGGTGTCATGTGTGTCAAATTGCAAAAGATGCAAGATATGATTGTCATGGTCAAACATGTCTGTCTAGCCTATGTTTATGAAGAAAAACAATGAAAAAGCAGTCCAGGAAAATGCAGAAACGCATTCTGTGTGAATGGTCCCTAAGGCAGCAAGTAAATCCCATAATGCATTGCAACAAGTTCAGTAAAAATTTATGGTGGACGAAGTTAGAGAAATGTTGATTGTAAATTAAAAAAATGCATGTTGTGACCAATATTTATGTGCATTAATAATTTTGTTTATTAGAGCATTATGTTATGTCAGCAAGCCAACTTCTTAATGAGAAGTCAATCCCATAATGCAGCTATGATGGCAGACGAAGTTATAAAAATGTTGACTGTAAACAAAAAACAAAAACGTTTTGACCAATATTTATGTGATTTATTTTTATGCTTATTAGTGTGTTGTTATCTAAAGCAACGTCAGCATGCCAACTCCTTATGTCAATGAAGAGCTCTTTTTGTATGACACACAGAGTTGCTGCCTATCTAGAGTGTTCCGAATCAGTCACTGATGAGGTTCCATTTCTGTTAGGATGCGGCTTATGTAGGTAGGTTTTGGATCATGGATGTCTTTAATTACAAGCCAAGGGTTTTTATTCTCTCTTGCCAGATCGTTGTAACCCAGACCCAGTGTGCGGTGTAATCCGGCCTCCACCCCTGCAGATGGATTTGGACATGTCTGTGCTGCTGGATGGGTCTGATAACCTGAACACTCAACAGTATGTAAACACGAAGGAGCTCCTGCTGTCTCTGTTGGACCGGATCGGTGTGAGCAGCGAGCCGAGCAGAGCCGACGGAAAAACCAGAGTGTCCGTCTACCAGCAGAGCTCCGTTTACGGCTCATCTTACATCAGCGAGGAGTTCAGCTTCACTACATTTAAAGATCGCAATATCATGAAGAGGCATATTACTAACACAGTGAAGCAAGTGGGCGGGACATCCCATCCTGAGTTTGCTTTGGAGAGGCTGATTACTAACATTATCCTTAAAGCAGAAAGACCACGAAGCAAACGAATGGTCATGGCTGTTTTTGGTGAAGATTCGGAGCACAGCAAAGCTCAGCTTGATTATTTGTCTAGACTGTGTAAGTGTCAGAATGTTGTGATGTTTATCCTCATGGCGGGACAGAGATTCGACTGGACACAGATGGAGGAGCTCACCAGTTCTCCTCTGGAGCAGCACCTGGTGTTCCTGGATGACAGAGATTATGGCACACGCTTCGCTTACGCCTTCCTGCATATGCTCCACAGTAAGAAATATTCATGGTTGTGTTTTCATAAGGCCACTGCGAAAGATCCTGGTCTGGTCTAACCTGTCCTGTTATTGAAACTTGCAGACTTTTTCCTCTGAAAATTAACAGATGCTAACATAGTTTTTATTAATTTTTTATTGATTTTTATTTCAGTTTTAGTTTTTGTTATTTTTGTACTTCAGCAAAAATGATAAATGTAGCCTTCGAAAGTAGCGTAAAACAAGGTTTTTTTCTTTATTATTTTATTTCATTTCATTTAACATTTAAGTATTAACAATTGTATTTTTATGGCTTTATTTTTAATTTTAGTTAATGATAATAACCCTGCTGTGTATCTGCTGTTGTTTTGCAGGAGGAATCTTATCCCGGTCATCAATACAGACTCGTGATTGTCGTGGTTTTGTGGTGAGGCCTGTTGACTCTGGACCACAAACCACAGAGAGGTAATGTGATTTACTAACAGTCTTCCGACATAAAATCACAAAGGTTAGTGCATGGATTGTGTGTTTTCAAAACCATTTGGCTGTAGCAGGAGAAGCATTTTCTTTGCATGTTTTTGTGTGTACACTGTAGGTGGTGTGGCACAGTCGGTTAAGCTCTGGGTTTAATAATCCAAACGTTTTAGGGTCTAAAAATTTTACTGTTTTGAGTCTTTGTACTGTGCCAGAAATGGGAAACCTGGGCTTCATTAGCCATATTTTGTTTTTATTTGCACATTGAAATACAAACAGATGCTGCAATACTGAGCACTAATTAGCTGTACAGGACACATTCTGTGCTTTTTAATGATATGAATGTGTCTAACTGTGATTCAGAGATATTCTGCCCACTGAAGCGCCCACCGAAGAGCCCTTCAGAACAGAGGAACCTCTGGAGGAATATGAAGATTTTTATGATCAGCAAAACACAGAACCAATCATGGAACCCAGTGAATATGATGACACTGAACAATTTACAGAAGAGCATAAAAAGGACAAAACGGAGCCCTCAAAGACTAAAGGTGGTGAATCTAGATCTTACTGGCCAATTTAACCCTTGATTTAGCTTTTTTGGAGTTGCACATATCTCTGGCGTAGTTCTGTATCCTCACTCACATTAAAAATGCACAAGCTTTTCTGCTGTTTCTCTGACAGAGTTCAGTATTCAGTGCTGCAGGGAATTAATGGAGTGTACTGTTTGTTTCCAACAGCACGATGCTTCCTTGAGAAAGATTCAGGCGGTGCTTGTGGATCGTATATGTCCAGATGGTATTACAGCCAGCAGACTAAGAAATGCATGCACTTCTGGTACGGTGGTTGTGGCGGAAATGAAAACCGATTCTTGACAGAGGATGAGTGCTTTAGGGAATGTGTGTCTGCAGGTAAAATTACCAAACTTGCTTACTGATATTTAGGCTGTTCATAATCCATATTTTTTTATTGATGTAAATTCTGATCATTTACTTTTTTATTTAACCCTTGTTTTTAATTTTTTTTGGTCAACTTGTTTTCTTTGAATTAGTGCAGGTTTTGTCATAGACCTCATTGATCTGAGCTTATGCACCTCAGTTTTTGAGTGAACAAAAAGCATTATTTTTGGATTATTTTGGGAGTTTTTACTCAAAAACTGAGGTGCATAAGCTTAGATTAATGAGGCCTACAATCAATCAGTTTCAAAAAGAAACACAACCTGTGCTAATTGAAAGAAAATAAGTGGATAGAATAAATCCAATATTTGGTAATATAGCACAATGAGAGGAAAACTGGCCTTTTTGTAGGCTGGTCATTTTTGGCCAGGAATACCACAAGTATAACAGTGGGAAAAATAATCAAAATTGTATAAAAATTATTGACTTTTTTGGGAAGTTATACCCTGTGTGAGCTAAGTCACTAGGTTTTAGTGCAATGCGAAAACATTAAAGGCGTCATATGATGCGATTTTAATTTTTCCTTTCTCTTTGGAGTGTTACAAGCTCTTGGTGCATAAAGAAGATCTGTAAAGTTGCTAAGACATTTTTTTAGGAAAAGGAAAACCTCTCCAGGCCAAAATGACCGGAACATAACATGAGCGTTAATTAATTATTATTTTTAATATATTAATATTTAATACATGAATTAATATATTAAAGTTATAATGCATTATGCTTCATTTCCTCTTTTACATATAGGCATATAACCATTTATAATTAATTTACTTAGTACATATACTATTTGAATGGATATAATGGATGGTTTATGTAGGCCATTTACCTGTATAGTGTTCTGAGATTCTTCAAATTTCTCCCACAGAATCTGAAAATCTTCAACAGGATGATTGCAGTTTCAAGGGTAAAAGACACATTTACTTGACGGATATGCCGTAGACTCCCACTGTTTTTATTTAAAGCTAATTATAATTCCTACAACCTAACCCAAACCATAAAATATTTTAAATTTTTAGAATTAAATCAGGTTCATCGCTTTTTTTTTTAAACGGAGATACATATGAGGAGCATTCCTGATTCACTAAAACAATCATGTAAATCAAGTATAAAATTATTGCTGACCTCAATATGCATGGGGAAATATGCAAGTATCAAAAGTGTGACTATTTTAAATGGCTTCAAACTGATCAGCCTGATCTTCACTGCGTGTTGCTTAAAACCTTTATTTCTATTTTCTTTCTGCTTATAGATGTTTGCCAGCTCAAACTCGATGCAGGAACTTGCTCAAACTTTTCAATGAAATGGTTTTTCGAAGTCCGCAGTGGTGAATGTGTCCAGTTCTGGTACGGAGGCTGTGACGGGAACAGCAACAGGTTCAACACTCAGGAGGACTGTGAGATTCGCTGTCTCAGGGCCAAAAAATATCTCCAAACATCTAAACTGTGATACAGTCATGGTGAGAATTGTTGGCACCCTTGGTAAATGTGAACAAAGAAACATGTGGGAAAAAATCGGCATTAATCCCTTTGATCTAAGGGAATTTAAAGAAGGGAATAAGAATTTAAAATGGAGGGAAAATCTCATTATGAAATAAATGTCTTTCTCTAATACACATTGACCACAATTAATCATACCCTTTTATCCAATACTTTTTGCGACCTCGTTTTCCCAAGATAACAGCTCAGTTCACCCCACTCATTTTCTATAGGGTTCAGGTCAGGCAACTGGGTTGGCCAGGGCAGAACCTTCGTTTTGTGCTCAGTGACCCATTTTTTGTTTTGATTTTGATGTTTGTTTTTGGATCTTAGTCCTATTGGAAGATCTAACTATGGCCCATTAAAAGATTTCTAACAGAGGCAGTCAGGTTTAGATTTTTTTATCTGTTGGTATTTGATAGAATCCATGATATCATGAATCTGAACAAGATGTCCAGGAGCTCCGGCAGAAAAATAGGCCCACAACATTAAAGATGCAGCAGTATATTTCATTGTACACATAGGGTACTTTTTCACCCCTGTGTGCACCAAACCCATCTTGAGTGTTTGCTGCTAAAATGCTCATTTTTTAATTTCATCTGACCATAGAACCCAGTCCCGTTTGAAGACCCAGTAGTGTCTGGCAAGTGAATATGCTGGAGTTTGTTCTCGGGTGAGAGCATTTACGTTTCCTGTTTTTTTCTTGAAACCCTCCCAAACAACATGCGGTGCTATAGGTGATGTTTGATACATTTTTAAGGCTTTTTTCTGTAGCTATTTTCTGTAGCTCTCCAGCTGTGATCCTTGGCCACTCAAAATATCCTCCTCAGCTTGCATTAAGACAATCTAGACACGTCCTCTTTCATAATTTTATATTTTTATATAACTTTAATGCTGTATCAGAGCACTGCCTTTGTACTTTTGACTGAATTGTTTATCAACTTTTATGATGGGTGTTGTTTATTGATTATTATTCAATAAATAATATTTTATTTACCATCTTGGAACGGTCTGTGTGTTGTCATTCATGGTCAAAAATCAACGAGTTTTCCAAGATGCCACAACATTGCACAGCATCTGGTTGTAAAATTCGCCAACATTTAAATTCACAAAGAAATGGGATAATCTTTGACAGTTAAAAATGTGTTGGTTTGTGTGTTAATATGTATTAACTCAATATTACAGGTTTTATAAACTCTGGTAACTTTTTAATGTCGTGTTTGCTAATGGCTTCATCTTGTATTGTGTTAGTTCAGCAAAATCATCTGTTGAAGTTTATTGCAGATATAGATATTCATGCATGCCTATAACTACAGTTGCATTGCAGATGCACAGTCAACTTGCTCTCCAGTGTTCACAGACCGGTGTTTTGAGTGTTCCAATATGGCAGACGGATTATGTATAGTGGCCCATAGAAAGAGCCTCTAATAAGGCATCTACCTATACACATATATGATTTTTACTTTCAACAACACCTTGTATTGCATTGACCAGCGTTATGCTGGAAAATCCCTTAACAGTTGAAAGGATACTACGAAAAAGATTTGGCTTTCCTCAGTGGACATTTAAACTAATGTTTTATTGTGAATATGAGACTGACCTGAAAAATGAATGCTGTATCTGATGCAGGTAATCGGGAAAAGACGTGAATGGCGCAATCTAATAATATAAAATATGGTCATACAATACAAATGCCAGCAATTCCACTTTGGAAGTTTGTAATGCCTATAGACCTTCATTTGATATAAGAAGTGAAGAAACAGGTTTGTGACCCAATAAAAATAAGAATCAATCAATATATTGACCAGAAATGTTATGATATATGACACAAATATTTACAGATAGTTCAAAGGATCCAGGATCTAAGAAAACAGGAGTAGCAGCAGTTATACCACAACATGAAATAGTGATTAAAAAAGACTCCCAGATTTTTTTATCTGTATTTCCAGCAGAGTTGGTAGCTACACACTCTACGACACGCCACACTCCAGTTCAGTTGGTGGCAGTAATGCACTAATAAGCTATTCTGCCAACAGCCAATAAACAATAAAAGAAGAAGATGATGCAGGTAATCACAGTCGCTCAGTCCATTTCTCTCTGGTAATATATGGTCTATTCATAATAATTTTTGTAATACCAAGCAAGGTTAAATAAATTCATACTAAAATGCTTCACAAATTTTATCCTTATAAGTTATTTGTATCCAAGTTTATGGGTATTCAACCAGAATGCTCTTTTTTTTTGGATCTGAAAATGAATCGGTGCTTCATCAGTTCTTTAGATGTCCCTTCACAGTATCATTTTGGACTGAGATTTCAAATTTAGATTTTTACATCCTTTAATAACCTCATTGATATTACAGAAGAAATGGTCCTGTTTCTGTTTTGTAACACTTGCTCTGCTCTTTTAAATAATACTGTAAAAATCTTCTGCTTGCTAGGAAAAGTCATATTCACAAGTCTTAAGTTACAGCTTCTAAACCAGATTTTATTGTATTTTACTCTGAATTAAAAAGTGTATCTGATTCCCTGTGTAAATTAAAAAGAAGCAAAAAAGCAGTTAAAACATATCAGATTTTAAATAAGATTGAGCCATTATAGAGATTCGATGTTTAGATTATTTTTCCCCTGTCCCCCCACTTGAGTCAAAACGAAATGTAAAACACATTTTTTTCTTTATTTTTATTATTATTTTTTAAAATGTATTTTATTGTATTTTATTCATTTTAACTTACCTCACCATAAGGTACTGTAGTTAAGTTAAATCTCTGAATTATAAACTGGTGTTTTAATGTGATATTACTGGTTTAGTTTATCATATATACATATTATTTGTAGTTTATTTGATAGGGACAGTGTACCAAATCCTTCTCTGATAAGAATCAGAAAATGTTTTTCATCACATTATAATCAGATATATTTTTCCACCTGTAGTCACTAATGGCCAACAAACTCTCTGTTTAGTCTGTTTTTAGGAAGGCTACAACTTTGGCGTTCAACATATTGTTTCAGAAATGCAAACAATTAAATACTGAAATTTAAACTTAATTTGGTTGGTTTTATGTTGTTAAAGTTAGCTTTATGAAAATAAATATGACTGTTTGTAAAAGGAAATTATTAAATTAGTTTTTTAATTGTTATTTATTTCACATGGGTTTGAATCAGATTTGGGCAGATGGTCATTTTACACCCAGATGGTGCATCTTACCCACTGACTCGACTGGGGTCAACTTACCCCTAACCGGGGGCAAACTGAGCCATGAGAACCCTTTTTTTATAAGAAGCCATGTTTTTTAGAACACTTTGTCATAGATACATTCTGATTATTTAAAATGATAGGAATACTTTCATTAGGATAGGTTAGGATAGGATAGGATAGATACTTTCTTTGTATTTCTGTGTCATTTTCCCTTGAGGACCACATAAGTAAAAAATGGCTAATCTTAGCCCACTCTCCCCTATAAGTATTAGACATTTATTTTAATATTTTACAGCATTAATCTATATTATATACAAATAAACAACTAATTTAGAACATTTATATTATTTTTAAACTATTTACAGGCCTACTATTAATATGGTTTTAATAAAATATGATGTGTTGTAGATTACTAGTACCAAGACAAGTGATTATAATGGGAAATATTCTTAATTACAAGAATTAAAGTGTGACAAACTGCTAAATATTCTATATGATGATTTACCTGCTGGCTTGCTGGATCTTTGAATTCATGTTTGCAATGTTGAACTGCCTTTAGCAGCCTCCCTTCGCTCTTTCTCTCTGTCTCTGTCTTCTTTTTTGTGAAGGCACAACTGCGAATTTTGTGTTATGTTAGATCTGATCGGGTATAATAATTTGATCAGACATTCTAATTATAAGAACGAGGACATTTTGTTGTAATCACTTTTAATCACTTTACCGACAGAAATACAAAAACAAACTACCAAATTATTAATTCAGCGAATCATCCACTGACTGTAATGTGGATTGTAATGCATCTACCTGTTAATGAACGACCTTCGGGAACTGTGGTCTCCACTCCAGATAGCGGCACACCGATTGTGAGTGATGCTGCGGAGCGGGCGGGAAAACACGGAGCGGATTACCGGAATCAGCAGATCTTTAGCGGAGCAGGAACAGACAAACTACCAAATTACTAATTCAGCGAATCATCCACTGACTGTAATGTGGATTGTAATGCATCTACCTGTTAATGAACGACCTTCGGGAACTGTGGTCTCCACTCCAGATAGCAGCACACCGATTGTGAGTGATGCTTCGGAGCGGGCGGGAAAACACGGAGCGGATTAGCGGAATCAGCGGATCTTTAGCGGAGCGGTAACCGAACGCTTTGAGCTGGGGTGAGGGTGGGGGGGGGTGAGAGGGGCACCTCATCTGATCGGGTATAATAATTTGATCAGACATTCTAATTTTAAGAACGTGGATATTTTGTTGTAATCACTTTTAATCACTTTACCGACAGAAATACAAAAACAAACTACCAAATTATTAATTCAGCGAATCATCCACTGACTGTAATGTGGATTGTAATGCATCTACCTGTTAATGAACGACCTTCGGGAACTGTGGTCTCCACTCCAGATAGCAGCACACCGATTGTGAGTGATGCTTCGGAGCGGGCGGGAAAACACGGAGCGGATTAGCGGAATCAGCGGATCTTTAGCAGAGCGGTAACTGAACGCTTTGAGCTGGGGTGAGGGTGGGGGATTGGTGAGAGGGGCACCTCAGCTGATGAGGGGAAAGGGGCAGTGGCTCTAGCCACCAGGCCACCCCCCTGTGCACGGCCCTCATCAGCAGGTTCCCAAACGGGTGCAAAACATCTATATCTGTGTGCAAACACACACAGGCCCATCCAACTCCCTAAAAACGATAGGAAGAAATATTATTTTTTATTTATAACTGAAATCTTGATGTTCCCTTTCAAGGGAACTTCTAACTGCGTCCTCTAGGGGTCGCTATGGGGAATGCCTCGTCGTGGCCCGTGTCTGAAGCATACATTGAAAAAACACCAACTCGTTGGCCGGCGATGGACCTATGATGTTTTGGTTGGTTCTATGACTTCATAGCAACCACTTTACTGATGGTCCAAACTAGAGGCTTCTCTGGAATCGCCTCTGGAACGGGGTTCCGGCGCATATATATGTGTATATATATATGTATTTAATATGCTGGTGGTTATGTGTGTATAATCCTTCTGTGAGATTTCTTTGCAGCGTTTTCCGGGACCTGTGTGTTTCTGTCCTTTTTAAGGTAGGTCCTCTGTGAGCAACCCTTTGCTGGATTCAGAAACCAGGTGCTTGACTTGCAGTGTTACCTCACTCGTCGATATTGTGTCCAGCTGGTATGATAGCCCTGGTTCCGGCTTCATGCTTCCTGGACCATGCGGCCAGGTCAGAGGCTTCTGCGGGAGCCTTCTTGATCATCAGGCCCCCGGCACGACACTGCAAAAAATTCCTGGATGTCCGGGCTCCAGGATATCCCCTCTTGCTGAGGCATCGAGCGGGAAGTATAGGTGGCATTTGCGAGAACCTTCTTGTGTAATGCTGTCTCAGGCAGTGCTCCCTCTGTTTTTTTTCCCAGAGCACCTGGAACCAGCAGCATCAGGTGAGCATAGGCCCTTCACTAGTTTTTTGGCTAGCTTGCAGTACGCTTACCCTCTGATTTCTAACGATCATGCTGTGCGAGGCCCCTCTCTCGTTGAGAGCTGGGTCTGTGCTCCCTCAGCTAAGTAAATTATTGCTAGCTGTTCCAGCATCGGAACATGTGGTAGGTCGAGCTCCCCTCTCGTTTGCGAGCTGGGTGTTTGCCCCCCTCCGCTAGAGATTTACTGCTAGCCAATCCAGCTTTATCCTTAGATCGAGTTGGTGACTCTCAAACATATTGGTTTTGGGATGCACCATTCCATCTATGAGATGCACTTTTCAATGTATGCTTCAGACACGGGTCACGACGAGGCGTTCCCCATAGCGACCCCTAGAGGACGCAGTGTCTTGTTCCCTACTCAGGGAACCATGGTTATATAAGTAACCTGAGACGTTTTCTAATATACAGTCAGGCCTTGACATTAACACCCGCATTTGTGGTCTATTCTCCCGATTTAATTTACTATAGATCCCATTAATAATTCACTGGAATGCGCGAAGAATCTCTCGTGTTTCTTCTCAAATCCTCACGTCTCTTTCCAGGTTTGTTTGTTTTCTCAGGTAAATACAATTTATTAGGCTATCTGTCAAAATGACGGAAATCACTTTGAAATAGTATGACATGGTATCACGCAATGCTAAAGTTTATAAACATATTTGACTAGGGCAACGTATGTTACATAAAACAGATATATATAAGCCTATATATATATATATATATATTTATATATATATATATATATATATACAGTGGGTACGGAAGGGGGTCTGAATACTTTCCGTACCCACTGTATATATATTGTATTAGACTACTAAAGTGATATTTCACCCGTCCGTTATTGCTGTGGAAAGAATCGCACTTTTGGGGTTATTCATAGTCTATTAAAGGTACTATTCTTTTACACTTTTAAATGTAATTTTAATGTTCGATGGTTGAAGGGTGAGTAGAATAATGTCATCTCATTTTACCCAGTTGAACCCCATTGTACCCCTTCCACTCTGGGGCATATTTTGAAATTCCACCATGAAATTTGATTGAAATTTGCCATACCCCATTTTAAATGTTCACCCCACATACATACAGTGGAAGAAATGTAAAATGTTGGTGTCAATTTACAGCAAGAACCCTCAAACTAAGAAAATCAGATTGCAATACTTCATAAATAACATTATATGTATTTAAAATATTATAATAAACATAAAAAAAGGTACTTTTTGATATTATTTTTTTCCAGAGTCCTGTATTTGAAAGTCTGTTATTCAGGTTGTGCTCTAGGGACCTGCTGATTATTTTGTTTGATTCCCCTAGGTGGCAGAATATACTACAGTAGAAAAAAGAATTCCTCTATTCCATTTTCTATACAAGAGTTATTGAAATATAACTGAAGGAAGGCGACTTGTCCTATTTAGCGTCTACAAGTGTCCTTTGCAATAACAGGTTTTATAAACTACATTACCCAAAATATTCACATTTTCTATATGCTATAGCAGTTTTCTTGATTATTGCTTAATTTTCTTCATTTGTTATTTTTGTCTCTGAGATGCACAACTAGTAATATGCAAAATGGTATAAACGAATGAGACCAAATATCGTTTTTGTGATTACAGTATAGAACATGTTCCACATCTTCCAAATTTGTATCATTTCACTTCTGTGCAACACTAGGATTTTGTCCCCTATGTTAAGAATCACCTTCCTCTGGCCTGCCTCCTGGAGATGTGAGGCCCCTCTGTGCCAAGCACTGGTGGTCCATAATCTTCATCAGAAACTGAAACAAAGAAATACGTTTTTATGCACACAGTTGTTTGCACTGCAATAATATCTATTTCACAATATCAAAACATAAATTTACTCAAATGACACTTTTATTCAAGTCTGCATGCATGCAGAGTGTTTTTCAAGCAACATAGCATATGCTAAATGCAGTTTTTACATATTTTGTCAAATAACAGGTTATTGGCTTAGTTGCTGTGCTTTTACATTTCAAAATTATAATTCTATCAAATAAATGCATATTATCATTGTAAATACAGTAATATATGAGCTTACCAGTCAAAAGCAGAGTCCTGCCCTCTCCCCTCCTTCGGGAAAAGTGAGCTCAGTTTTTCTCAGTCATTGGTGAGTGACCTACCTCTTGAGAGCTAACGATATAAATAATATTGTGTTAAAAATGCACAAACGAAGGAATCAGCCAAGTGACTTTAGCTTTAATGAGGATCTGAGTTATTTTTGATAACTGAGATATAACCAACCCAACACTGTACCCATCCAAACACATCTGAACCTGAGCTATGTGAATCAAGTAATGAATGATAGGTTCATGGTAAATGACCATTTTTGGGTTCTAACACCTTTTAAAATGCTTTTCTTGCCTGACATAAACAATGCTAAAATGCTAGTTTTGTTTATCCATGTTTACAGCATGTCATGCCTTATATGTGGTGTAGGAATGTGTCTATGTTGTGTTTTCTGTATACAGACTGCATTAGACAAGACACATGTTGTTTGGAAGAGCAGCTGGGATCTGAAGCCAGAATGCTTTCTTGTGGTCTTCCATGAAGTGAAGTGGCTGATAACAGACTGGTTATGGAGAGTAGGATTCAACTGGTCATGTGATCTCATGAGAACATGATCTCAGCTGCTCCATGCAACCCTGGTGACCAAAAGTTTGAAATAATTAAGATTTTTTTTGTTTTTTTTTGAAAGAAGTCTCTTATGCTCACTGAGGCTGCATTTATTTGATAACAAATACAGTAATAACAGGAATATTGTGAAATATTATTGCAATTTAAAAGAACTGTTTCCTATTTGAATATATTTAAAAATGTAATTTATTTCTATGATGCAAAGCTGAATTTTTGTGTCTTCAGTGTCACTTCAGGAATCGTTCTAATATACTGATTTGCTGCTCAATTATTGTTGGTGCTCAATTATTAATAATGTTTTTTTATGATTATAAACACCAGATTTCATGTATTTGATACCAAATGCCATTGGTTCTCACAAATGCCTTTATCCATTACAGAGTGCCAACTTGAATGTGAATGATATTAAAGCTATAAAATAAGTTGAGAAGATTTGGAAATTTAGCACATAATCAGTATAATGCTTTTTTTTTTGCACATTGTAGAGTTTATTCAACAGAGAAAACAACCACTTAAAGGCGTGGAATGACATGAGGGTGAGAAATTATGACATGATTTTCCTTTTTTGGTGAACTAAATTAGATTAAACTAAGAATTTAAGGAAGCAACAAACACAAAGCTGTCAACATCTGCAATAATCCAAAAGGGGAATGTGAACACACTGCGTTCCAGCTATTTAATGGTGAGGATAAACAAAAGATAAATCTATCATGCACTTGTGGGTCTGTATATACATGTTTTTGAAGTCATCTTCTCCTAAAATGGAAATTGTGGTGTTGAGGAGTGGTTTGATAAGTTTGTATGAACAGTTTCTGATTTTTAGTTTCTCATTCAGAGTCTTCGGGTTGGACTCATCCCATCCATGCCTGGGCTCTGTGTAAGTTCACCTCTTTACTCTCTTCCTTTATTATATTTAGATTATATTCAGAGCTGTTTGTACCAAGGTAATCACATGATTTATAGTATTTTTTAAAATCATTCGTTTGTGAGAATGCCTATGTTTATAAGAAATACTTCACAGAAAAGATGACTGAGTTTTTCAGGTTTGTTTAAAAAACTATTAAAGCAATCTTAAGCATAGATTTTATTTATGTGTTTAATTCAAGTCTGTTTTTCTGGATTCAGATCTATCATGAGTGTCATGTTCACAAGCCAGTATTTTCATAGATTCAGGCCTGATTTTAAACACATTAGGAAAGAAGCATAGAGCTGGCTGACAATCCTTTGCTAAAACTGGGGACACATTTGGAGCTGCATTTCAAATCTCTAGGAGCTCTGCTTCCGTTATTGTTACTGGCTTGGGATGAATATGAATTAGAAATATTAGAAAAGTTTTAGTGTGAAACTTGCCTGTTGAATAGCATTTGAAAATATGAGTGTTTGGTTACATTTCAAGATAAAATGATACCAAGACAAGGTTTATGTTGACTAAATGCTAAGTCTTCACTTATAAAATGTAAAATTGAATTAAATAATTCCTATAATTGATTTTAATTTTAATTTAAATATGATTTAATTTAAATTTAGTAGTAATTCTAGGTATATATATATATATATATATATATATATTAGCGCTGTCAGTCTATTAAAAAATTAACTAATTAATCACACCTTTTTTTCTTAAATTAATCACGATTAATCCCACCTAACATTAAAGTTTTTAAATATAATTTTATATTACAATAATTTCACATTCAATCTTTAATGAATTTAATGAATTGAATGAATTCAAATTAATGTAGAAACAGCATAAAGAACAGTATATTTTTAATATTTGTTTAATGGCATCTTTTTTATGACTGAAGACAAGTATCACTGATAACAATATTACTGATGCCTCTATTGTTGTTTTCCCCCATTATTTAACCATTGACTAGCCATTCAACATTACAGTATAACTGAGAGCTATCAATTTTAACATTTATTAGACTTTAAAAAATAACAACTAATTTAAGGGAACTTAAAACAGTATAACGGCTGACAGACATAGTCGGTTCAACGTACAGTATTATAAATATAAATATTAAAATAGGTACCCCTTAGTTTCAATATACTTAGTATAAATAATTTGTAATTTTCCAGGTTAATACCTCTTTATTCCCTAAATGTTGCAGACAGGCTACTGTATAGGTACACTATAATTACAGGTACGCTGTAAATTCGGTTTACTTACACTGTAAATTGCGGGCTGTAATCTACAGCGTTACCATATTTTGTAAAACCGGTGATTAAATAATATTGAAGACTGATAAAATGAATCATAATAGTTTATCATTTTGTAGTAGTTTATCATTTATTTACATTTATGTTCACTAATTGTGAACATGAAACACTGAATAACCTGAAAGTGAATGATGTTTCTAAACCATCTGTCCTTGAGATGCTTGAGATGTCTGCCTGTTCTTCATCTGCCGGTCTGGATGTTCATCTCAAATAAATGTTTTGTTTAACTGTAGGCAGATGTTCTGAGGATGTAAGAGTAATTGAGAGACGATCCACAAACATTAGCCCTTAAGAGGAGAACCCTCTCAGTGCTGTCCTACATAAACAATCAGACAACAGTGGATGTGTTTTAGCTCATCCTTGAAATGTTTATCTGAGAAACATGACATGCATACATTACATATTTTTGTATCTGAAGATTTGTTAAATATATGTATAGATTTGTAGTTGCTCCGTTTGTGTGCAGTGTAACAAATCCACAAGACCAAAATGTAATTTCGGCAAATGCTGCTGCAAGCATGCTGTACTGGTGGTGTGCATTTGATCTGTTTAAAATAGTTTGTGATTTTGCTGACCTAATGGCCATTGTTTACACAAATAAACATGAAGTGCGCCATTTGGGACGAGGCCTTTGTGTGCTAAGAAGTATAAATGGTCGTAGGCCAGTAACTCACAAAAACGGTAGCTCACATATCTCAATATATCAGTCTTTACAAATATTCTGTTTGTTATTTTCATATAAAACAGGAAAGATCAGTGGGAAAATGCAAAGATCTCATTCTCTTTCAACTTGTATAATTTTTTTTTTACATGCATATTATATTTGTAATTCTGTTTGGTGATGCAAATTGTGCAGAAACTTTTAACATCATTGGTTGCTTTCTTTCAGGGAACAAGCATGGAGAAGGAGTGGGGATTACTTGGCTTTCTTGTTCTGTCATTAAGTTTTCTTGTCAGCAATGGCCAAAACATTGGTAGGGACAGAATTTACTAGATTAGATTATTGCTAAATTTATTTTCAATTCTGATTGTTGTTTTCTTTTCTCAGTCTGTGCACAGAACACAGTGGCTGACATTGTATTCCTGGTGGATGGCTCAAACAGTATTGGGCCGGCGAACTTCCTACAAATCCGTGAATTCCTCTCCTCGCTCGTAGAGAACTTTGAAGTTGCTCCTGATAGAATCAGGATCGGTTTGGTCCAGTACAGTGACACGCCGTATACTGAATTTTCGCTCAGCACTTACCAGAATAAAGAGGAAATTCTCAGCTACATCCAAAAGCTTCGTTATAAAACCGGCGGGAAGTTTACCGGCAAGGGTTTGGAGTTCATGCTGAAACAACACTTTGTTGAAAAGGCCGGAAGTCGAGCACAGCAGAATGTTCCTCAGATTGCCATTGTTATCACAGATGGTGACTCTCAAGATGAGGTCAAGTCACAGGCTCAGGAGCTGAGGCAAAGGGGAATCAAAATATTCGCCATTGGGATCAAAGATGCAAACGAAACGTTACTGAGACAGATCGCGAGCGAGCCGTATGATCAGCACGTCTACAGCGTATCAGACTTTGCAACTCTGCAGGGAATCTCTCAGAGTGTAATCCGGAAAGTGTGTACCACTGTAGAGGAAACACAAAAAGAGGTCATCCTGATGTCAAGAGGTAACATATTACATTGTAAAACTATTAATTATGTGCATTAAATGTAGTAGTGCAGCACTTCTGGGTCACGTCTTTACTGTTAATTTTTTAATGAAAGAACCTACTGAGAGATCAGTAGCCAGTTGCAACAAAACCCTTAAGCTCTTTATTGACTTATATTCAAGGTATTTTTTAGAAACTTTGAATATTAGTTTGACAAAGTCTTGGTTGGGTGTTTAATACATTTTGAGGGTTGGTTTGGAGTCCGAAGGTTGTATAGTTGTATCAAATATTTGAACATTTGTATCAAATCAAAAACAGTTCCAAGCAAGATTCAGAACGCTCTGTCAATGTAAATTGGGTTTGGGGGGGATTTTTGTCCAAGTCCAAGTCTAATACTTTACAAGAAATAATGCAAACCAAGTCAGCACAGCCTGAAGGTCTGTGCTGATTTTGATGCACATAACTTGGAAACTCAGAAGTTCCCTTTCATGGGAACTTCGAACTGCGTCCTCTAGGGGTCGCTATGGGGAACGCCTCGTCGTGACCCGTGTCTGAAGCATACATTGAAAAAACACCAACTCGTTGGCCGGCGACAGCCATGACGTCACTACCGGTGCGACTATAGTATAAATAGGCGCCGGGAGCACACATCATTCTCTTCTTCGTCTTCATTGACTGTTTTGTTTGAAGCGTGCATTTCTGTGGTCAGAGCGATCTCTATTTATCTCATTATGGCGAGTACTAGCAAAGCGTTTAAGGATGTGTGCATCCGTGTTGACGTTGTTTAACATCTGATGACACACACGATCTATGCGTTACCTGAGACGTTTATCATGGAAGTTTAAAAGATTTTTCTGTAGGAAATAGCTTTTTCGTTTAAAGTCTGATTAGTTTTTCTTTTTAAGTCTGATTAGGTAGAAAATACAGAGAAGGTTGAGTCAAAACCGGCTGACTTTTAAAAATATTGTGGTTAAGGCAACATAACAACAGTGGCACATTTACAGCAAAAACTGATTACACCATTAAAATGACCTTTGTATTATTTTATTTGTGCAAACATAAGAATTAAGAGCAGAATCAAGTGGTCAAAGTTCTATCTAAAATTCTTCTATTTGCCTAGGCTGCAACCAGACTGCTCAGGCAGACATTGTGCTCCTTGTTGACTCGTCTGGTAGCATTGGAGAGAGTGATTTTGAAGAAGTGAGGAAGTTCCTCCATTCTTTTGTGGATAGTTTTAACCTTAGACCCGACAAGGTGAGAGTGGGACTTGCTCAGTACAGTGACAGGCCGTACCAAGAGTTCCTGCTCGGTGACTATTCAGATAAGAGAGATCTGCACCAAAAGTTGACTGATCTCATCTACCGTAGAGGAAGCACCAACACTGGTCTGGCTCTGACTTTCATCCGTGATAATTACTTTAGACTGGCCAGACAGAATGTTCCTGGCATTGCCATAGTCATCACAGATGGGGAATCAAATGATGATGTGGAGGAACCTTCCCAGAGACTACGAAACCTAGGAGTTTCCATCTTTGTCATCAGGGTGGGAAGGGGCAACATGGAAAAACTGCATACCATTGCTAATATCCCACATGAAGAGTTCTTATTCAGTATTGACAGTTATCAAGAACTGCAAGGTCTAAAAGAAAGTCTGCGCAACAAGGTGTGCTTTACTGTGACGCTCCAATCACAAGGTAACAGATTTTATTTGGTATGCTTTCCTATTTGTGTCTATACTGTGGGATTGTTGAATATGAAAACCTTAAAATTATTACAAAAACATCTACTAGCTTTGAGTCCCATCACAGTGAACTACAATCTACTGTTGTCTGTGCTCAAGTATGGGACCATTTATTGATTTATGGTTTAGATGCAAGTAATTCTATTCCTTTGTTTCCATTCTCTTTAGCTTTTGTGCCAAAATTTGCTGATCTCTTAATATTGGTTGATAGTTCAGCATCTAGACAAGAGCAGCAAACAATAAAGAATTTCCTCTCAAGACTGATCCAGCAGCTCAACGTGGGAAAGAATACTAATCGTGTCGGCCTGGCTCAGTTCAGTGAAAATGTCAAAGAGGAGTTCCTGCTAAATACTGATAAGGCTAGAAATGAGATTTTGTCATCTATTCGCAGCCTGACACTGAGGCCTACAGGGAAGCGTAGAATTGGCAATGCAATTGAATATGCTCATAAAAATTTCTTCAGTAATGTCACTGGAAGCCGTGTCTCTGAAGGCTTTAAGCAATTTCTGTTAGTCATTTCAGCTGGAGAATCTGCCGATGGTGTCGTCCAAGCATCCCGCACAATCAAAACAGATGCAGTGACAGTTTTTGCTGTTGGCTTGAGCAAAGCTGATGCACATGAAATGAAGTACATCTCTAGTCAACCACACAGCTACAAGTTAGTAGGTAACATCCAACAAGTACAACAGCAAATTAAGTCTGCCATTGACACATGGGAAGATGCTGCTGTCGCAAGGGGTGAGTGCATGCATTATCTATTATTCTTTCCAAAAAACCCATAAACTTTTCTCATTTTCTCCTTTGTTTAGAGTTTTAACTTGAAAAACTATTATGTAGTACATAATCCTAAAGACTCTGGTGTTATAAAGTTCTCATATTTTTTTTGACAGAGTGCATGTTTGACGTGGTGGCAGATATCGCTTTTATTGTTGATCAGTCCAGCAGTATCAGATCCAAAAACTTCCAACTTGTACGCGACTTTCTCGAGAACACCATCGGAGGTCTTGATGTAGGTGAGGGAAAAATAAAAATAGCTGTGGTTCTCTATAGTGACTTCCCTCGAGCTGATGTGTACTTCAACACCTTCGATGATAAGACTGACATCCTGCGCTACATCAGCAGCATGCCATATGGTCGTGGTAAAACATACACTGGAGCTGCTCTCAAGTTTGCCAAAGAGCATGTGTTCACCAAAGCAAGAGGCAGTAGAAGAGATCAGCATGTTCAGCAGGTTGCTGTTGTTATCACTGATGGGAAATCAACAGATAAGGTGGCCAGGGCTGCGGCAGCATTGCGGCGATCTGGCGTCACTATATTTGCGCTTGGTATCAAAGACACAGAGGAGGATGACTTGAGAGAGATTGCATCCTACCCATATAAAAAGTTTGTATTCAACGTGGAAGACTTTGATAAACTAAATTCACTTTCAAATATTTTAACCAAAACACTTTGCAATGAAATCACAGATTCCATCATACCTAGAGTCTCACAGAGCTTTGTTTTACAAGGTTAGTACGATGTTTTTACTCATTCTTTTTTAAATTACTGGCCCTAAGAGCAGAGTGATGATGAAAAAAATTATAATACAAATTTCATATCTGAATACTCAAAATTTCACTCCACTGCAGGTTGCAAGCAAACAACCAAAGCCGACATATACTTTCTTCTGGATGAATCAGGAAGTATATCCTATGATGAGTTTGATGATATGAAGAACTTTACTAAGCAATGGCTTGAAGCATTTGAGGTTGGAAATAACCATGTGCGCTTTGGATTGGTAAAATTTGCAAGCAGCGCAACCACAGTTTTCCGATTACATGACTATAACACAAAAGCTGATATCGAAAAGGCAGTGAATGCCCTCATTATGGAGGGAGGGGGCACCAGGACTGATTTGGGGTTGAGAGAAATGATCCCGCTATTCGAAGAAGCTGTACGAACACGTGGGGAAAAAGTTCGTAAGCTCCTGATTGTCATCACAGATGGCGAGTCGAGAGGGACAGAAGAGTCGGTAGAAGTCCCTGCTAAACTTCTGAGAACAGAACAGAATGTCACCATTTATGCTATTGGTGTGAAAGATGCATCTGAGCCAGAGCTGGAATTAATATCTGGCAGCCAACAAAGAACATTTTATGTCAAAAACTATGATTTCCTTGATGAAATCAAGAAAGACATCATTACAGAAATATGCTCCTTTGAAGGTGAGACATTCGATGATTGGCATATGTTTATACTGTATGTTTGCACTGTTACCTGATTTGCACAATTTTTTAATTGAATGGGTGATAAAATAATACAGTGCATGCAGATACATTTTTTTCTCTTGGCCTAAATAGAATTTGTTTCAAGATTCCTTTCACAGAACGAGTGATCACTTTATGAATTTCTTATTTTTAGGTTGTGAAGGTCTTTTTGCAGATGTTGTCTTCCTGCTTGATGGATCAGAAAGCGTTAGTGCTAAGGACTTTGAAAATATGAAGGACATAATGAAGCTTGTGATAGATAGGTTTGTAATTGGACCGGACAAGGAGCGTGTTGCAGTTGTTCAGTACGGCACAGACCCAAAGGAGGAGTTTTCCTTAAATACATTTGATGATAAAGCTGTATTATTACAGAAAATTAGAAATATTGAACAGATGAATGGAAAAATGTACACTGGAAAAGCACTTAAAGAAGTATTACAATCTTTCAACATTTCTAAAGGAGGACGCGCCAGTGCTTTAAAGTTCTTGATACTTCTTACAGATGGAGAGAGTAGGGATGATGTATCTGAGCCTGCTAAAGTCTTGAGAGACAATTTCATCAACATTAATGCTATTGGTATGAGACATGCAAACAAATCTCAGATTCTTGCCATTGCTGGATCCCATGATGGAGTGTTCTTTGAAGACGCAGTTGCATCCCCAAAAGAATTAAGCAATGACATCCTTCTAAAGATCTGCAACACAGGTATGTAAACCAAATCTGAGATTTTAAGGAGAGATCACATCATGTCAGTAACTTCTGTCAGTTGATGTTAAATCCCTTGAAAAAAACGTTCTGTGACTTTTAGTCAATGTATGTTATCTTTGAGGGCATCTACATGCTAGTGTAGCAGTGCACACATTTACCACCTGACCATCTGAATCTGACCACCAACAACATGTAGACATTTATGGCTTATGACTGTTTTGCCAAAAGAGAAGGACTGCACATTTTTAATGTGTACATCTGCTAAATGCTTGTCAGCTTTCATGTGTATTATAGTAAAAAACACTTCAAATATTAGCAAAGGTGGATTTTCCAAATGACTTCTAACATTAACATCATATATCTTTCCAGAATGCAAGACACCAGAATTGATCGATATAATCTTCCTTATGGATGCCTCCGGAAGTCCAAATAAAGATGGTTTCCAGGAAATGATAAACTTAATGAAATATACGGTGAGCAAATCTGTGGTTGGAGAAAAACGGGTACGATTTGGAGCTGTCACCTACTCTAATAACCCTCATTCAGAGTTCACACTAAAACAGTACTACAGTCAAACTGATATTCTGAGGGTTATCTCAAACCTCAAAACTTCAGGAGGAAGCAGAAACACGGTCCGAGCCCTGAACTATACACTCTCCTACTTTGGTGGAACACATGGTGGACGACGGGCAAAGAATGTTCCCCAAGTGCTATTTCTGATTACAGACGGCAAGGTTAATGACTTAAGTGGTCTGGCAACATGGCTTGAATCCCTGGCAAATTCAGAGGTCAACTTTTTTGCTATTGGTACTGAAGATGCAGATGCAGAACAGCTAAAGGAGATGGTGGGAAAGAAAGGAACAGTGCACTATGCAAAGACCTACCAGGATCTGCGTGGACTACAAAAACGGATCACCCAAGAGCTCTGCGATCTTACCAAACCAAGTAAATCTTATTCTTATCACCAAACACTTTGTGCCATACATTTTTTCTGGAAATGAACTCAACGTTCTATGTGAATGTATCTTCTGATTAAATGATATCAAAGGAATTATATATATTTAAAAATATGTTGACCACTACATTTTTGTCAATAACTGCTTTTTCAATAGAGTAAGTTGACTTTAAGTGACTATTTCTGCTTAGTTATTTCATGCATCTTGATTGATCAGATCGATGTCCAATTATACGTAACTTAAATACAGATATAAATCCAATCAACGCTTCATGATATATGGCAATATAATTCACTTCAAAAATCTTCGTCGTCATATGATGCTTAGTGTTTGTGTCTCATGGTTGCTTCATCCATGATTGCTTGTCCAGGTGTGGATTGCTTATGTGTCTTAGACCACCTACTGAACTATCTCTAACTATCGGTACAAATGCGTGATCTGAAACTGCCAATCTACAGTTGTAATGTTGCTTCCTAAAACTGTCCATTAATGTTTTTTTTTGTTTCCTAGTTTGTGAGATGGAGGTATCAGACCTTGTTTTTTTAATTGATGGATCAGAGTCTATTGACGAACCAAGTTGGAATACTCTCAAAAAAACCATGATTGGCATTGTGAGAGAGCTGGATATTGCTCAAGACAAATGGCGAGTGGGTGTTGCCCAGTTCAGCGATATACTCCTGCATCACTTTTACCTGAACACATACACTAGTTTTGCAGAAGTGGAGGAAGCTATAAACAAAATTAGACAACGAAAGCAGGGTACAAGTACTTGGGACGCACTGAGAAATATTAGATACTACTTCACAAGAGAGAATGGATCCAGAATAGATGAAAGAGTCGCTCAGAATCTCCTGCTGATCACAGATGGAAAAGCTAATGATGAGAAAGACTTGAACGCATTAGCGTATCTCAGAAACAAGAACATAACAATAACTGCCATTGGGATTGGCGATGAAATAAAGAAATCTGAACTGCGTGAAATAGCTGGATCAGCTGATCGGGTCCTTATTGAGACTTTTGAAGGCCTTGAACTGAAGACAACTATAAGGAAAGTGTTAAATTTACTCTGTACAGACACAAGACCAATACCACAACCCCCATATGGTAAGTAACTATAGTTTATTATAGCATTCATAATTCGTAATTATTATATACCAAATACTCTACATATAAGCTCTGTTCCTAAACCTAATGCCTCTTGCCTCCAAATGACTATCATATACCGTGTGACCTGCTATCTGATGAGGAAGCTCAATAGGTTTTGGAACAGATTAATAGTTAAAAGGAAGATGGAAAGTGAATCACACACTGTTCATTCTTTATCTCGGTTCAGTCTTCTTATCTTATCTTTGATTTCCACTAGAGATATAGATGCTTCCTAATATCTACAAGCAATCAAATAAATAAATAAATACACCATATTGTTTCAAATTCATCTTATAGATATTGCTGTGTTTAAATGTTGTGTCTCTTGAGGGAAGAGACATTTAGTTTTTCCTGTCTAAAAATGAATTACACAGCTGTGTAAATTTAGGATGTACGTTTTGGCAGATTCTTGTAATTGATTAGCTGGCATTAGACCTCTCCAGATAACTGATTTTTAAATAAGTGTTTTTTTTGTTAGTTTTTTTTTTTTTTTTAAATATGATTTAACTGGAGAAGTTTTTCTAAAAATATAAAACAAAAGGTACAGTAAATGCTTAAAACATGTAAATTAACTGATAGCAATAGTCTAAGAAATTGATGAGGTCAGTTAATTAGGAAACTGTTCTGTGATTTTGGGAATCTGTTGTTAAAACTTTCTCTAACATGGTAATATACTGTAGACTGTACATATATACTATGTATGCATATTTATTAATGATAAGCATTTATAATATTTTGTCTGTAATCTTTCTTGAAGATTGTGACCCATTGTTTTGTTCGAACAGACTGTGATATTGACATTGCCTTTGGGTTTGACGTGTCCAGACGAACAAGCACGCAAACTCTGTTCAGACCTCAGGTGGAACCGTTGGTTTCTGCAGCCATCCACCATATCTCCATGATGGGTGATCTGTGCTGCATCAAAAAGGGCAAGATTACAACTAGATTTGGCTATAGGCTAGATAGGAGTGTTCTGAATGATTTTGGCTTTGAGAAGTACAGCGAGGATGTGGTCAAGAAAGTGATGTCATTTCAACCTACGGCACCCCTGTCCTTCAACGGGGTTCTGTTAGATTCCTTCAGAGAACTGTTAGCCTCCTCCAAAGCCAAGGCAAAGGTGGGAGTGTTTTCGAGATATAAAACTTACCATCAAAATTACTATCAGCTATATTATATTCTTTGTTAATGTTCCCTTAATTGAGCAGGAGGACCTCTGCTGATGTTACTTTCAAATGATTTTATGTTTTACTGAAAGACTCTCATAAGAAACATAGTCATTTACTGTCATTTACACAACAAAGAAACACTATGCACTTGGCGTTTGGCATGATATTTTACCCAAAATGATGCTTTAAAATGAAATTGCATCTGTAAGAGCACTATTGGAAAAAATAATATGAATTTTAAATGCTAATACCACCTAGAATGCATTAAGTATTTATTGCTCATTCAGTTGATGGTACTCAGAAAATGGTATTCAGGCAGAATGCTGCTGCTAAATCTCCTGACATTTAATCGTATGTTTGTGTCTAGGTTTTGATAATCTTCACAGATGGGTTGGATGATAACATTAAGCATTTAATGGCGAGTTCAGAGAGACTTAAGCAAAGTGGTAAGTGATGTCTTTGGCTATGTCCACATTAATCTGGATGTATTTGAAAACGGTGTTTTCGTTTTGTCCACTCTTCTGCTTTCAAGTGGTTTCCAAATGTTGTTCGCTCACATTGAAATGTCTGAAAACGCTTAAATCACCTTACTGCATATGGGTAAAATGTAAGCTCTCTGAGGTATACCAAGAGACTAAACATTAAAAAGTTACAATTTTATTAGCAAAATATCCCTCCAATTGCTGGTGCATCCAGGTCACACTCGAAATTGTTATTCCATATATTCAGACAGCACAATTGTTCTGTTTTGCCGCTAAACAAGAAGGAGTCCATTTTCTGTCATATGTGTAATGTAATATTAGGAGTGTACAAAGTAGCATTTAAACAACACTATGAAAGTGAATAGGAGGCACAACAATGCTGGTACAGCCATATATATCTGTGGGTACCATATCACATCACTAAACATGCATCATTGTTTTCGGATTATACCTCCGTTTTCACAGTCCACACTTTATATCTTAACCATAAAAACTGAGCCATTGCAAAGTAAAGTATTTCAAGATTGATCCACCCAAAACTCAGTTGTGTGCAGAACTTTAATACATTTTGTAAAAGGATGCAATTGCATTTTGGTTTTGTTTAGTTTGATTTGGAAACACTACCTTTTATCTTAATTTGCAATTTTGTATAAGTAGCCCCCATGAATGCCTATGCCATGTTTTCCCTGTCTTTTTTGTGGGACGTTTCTTCCACAAAATGTTTAAGGCAAAGACTGTGACCCTGAACCATTTCCTCTGCAGTCACTCTGTACTAAACCCATGTGTGCTCATTTCTGATGTGTAAACTAGGGGTCAGTGCACTGCTGATTGTGTCTTTGAAATTAGCTCTTCTACTATTTTAAATGCATTCTGCTTTGTGGCCTTTCTTTTTTCTTGTGGCCTTTGTTTCTGGAGCCAAATTTAACATTTGTTTATTGTACAATCATCAAATATTGATTATGTTTTAATTAATTTAATTGTTTATTAACATCTTTGATTTCCAGATGCTCTTGGTAGACTATAAATCACCACACAAAACACATTGTGGTCGACACAAATCATTGCAACTGGACAAATATGTAAACTTTGGCAACTTTTGTATATGTGTTTATAATTTTAAGGGATGCCACCTGTCTAATTTTTCAAGCTACTACCAAGTGACGGATACATTTGTAGTAAAATACCCTAAAATTTGATTGGATGCATGGCTTGTGACTTCAACAACAAAATACAAACAGTTTCACTCATTGTGCGCCTTGCTCTCCCCTCAGGAAACAGTAGCGCTGAGGAAATGCTGTGATGTGCCTTGTTCGTGCACCGGTGTACCTGGACCACGAGGACACCCTGAAAGCTCGGGTCAAAAGGTCAAAGCCCCTCAATTCTGATAATGTAGAAAATAATTTTTTTGGGTTTACATATTTTCTCTTGCTTTGTTTATCTTGGATGGATTTTTTCTAACTGAGCTTGACGCATTATGTCATTATCTGAATGATAAATGCATTGTGACTAAATGTGACAAATGCAATTTGACTAAAATGAGGTATCTTAGTTAGAAGGCAGCTAGATTTTTGAACAGCCTTCGCACCAGGAACATGGCTATGATGTTTTCAAGAAATGCTGCCTATGCAGGTTTTATGTGTCAGTATCCATGTTTTCTTTTATTATTTAGGGATATAAAGGTCAGAAGGGTCATCCTGGATTTCCGGGAGATGAAGGTAGTATGGTAAGTGAAACTGTCAGCCTGATTTCTGATGTCACATGACCTTCACATTACATGCACTTAAGGCAAAACACCCCAAGTGAATAGGGTAAAAAATGTAACTAATAAATATCACCATACTTGACTGATAACATTAAAATTCCAAACATTTTTTTTGTATTACATGTTTTATGAAATGTTATGCTTAAATAAGCAAAAGAGGCATTATCTAATTACACAGGCACTAATTTGCATACATTTCCAGAACAGAAATCTGAATATTGGATAAAGCCAGGTTCAAAATTCTTGTTTCTTTTGCTGACATATTAGAGTCAAGTTTATACAGAAGGGATTTTGTGTATCTATTTTTTTTGTCTCTCCATTAATCAGAAAATGTATTATTATACATTTTGTAAAAATATGCAAACCTTTCTGTAAAAAAAAAAACAAAAAACGTCAGACTATAGATAGGAGTGTGTAAATATAGAAAGTCTGGGGTGTGTACGTGCTACTGTGTTGGGAAAAGGGCCTTTAAGGATAGGTATTGAAATTGAAATCTATAGTCGCAAATATATATGCAATAAACACTTAAAAGTTAATTGTAACAAAGTTCGTAGCTCTGGGAAGAAGGAGACGGGAACCGGCGAACATTCAAACATAAAACTTTAATAATCAAATAAACAAACACAAAATGAAAGTAAAAGCGGCAGCCCCTCACGGACGACTGCCGCATAAAACAACAACAACATAAATAGTCCAGGGGCCCGTTCTTCGTACGTCGCTTATTACATCCGAGATGAAATGTCACATCCAAGATTATATCATCGCGCTAATCAGGATCTGGCTAATTCGGTTCTTTGAACGCACCTGTTGTTGATGATTAGTCTGGCTGGATTGAGTTATCTGAGATAATTGCGCGTTCATGCGTTGGTTTAAAAGGGGCTATGTACGACGAAAAACTTGACACATTTTTGGACTTTTATAAGGAAACAGCTAAGCGAACAAAACTACATAAGTGTTATAATAGATAAATTAAATGTGCACCGTTTTTATTTTATTACATTTTTTTTACATGATTCCTAATTATTTATATTCACGATTTCTAATATTTGTACAGGCTTTACATTTTTATTTCAATGTAGTAATTAGCAACTCATTTCATTTTATATTTGAACAGATTTGTTACGTGACAGCATTAATTACAATTTCTTAAGGGTCAAGATCATGTTATCTGCATCTCCTGCGCTCCATCAAGCCGCTCCCATAATATCTGTCAGCACTCAAATTAATGCACGACTCTATACATTATCTGTATAGCATGTGTGTAAGACTCGAATACAATTATGAAGTAATAATTTTATGACGAATAAATCTTTCAGTGAGTAAAACTGGCTGTCTATAGTATTAAAGATACACAACATTATTATATTATCTTTAAATGAATTTTTAAATTATTAGTTCAAGTTCAAGTTCAAGTTGAGCTTTATTGTCATTCTGCTGCATGTGGGGACATACAGTGGAACGAAATGTCGTGCCTCACAGGAGTTTGCACGTGTGTTGATGGTCTTGGTGACTGTCACATCATCAATGCACTTTTTGATATAAGCACTCACAGTTTCAGTGTACTCCTGCAGGTCTGTGTGGTTGTTGTAGGTGGCTCTCTCTTTAAACATGTTCCAGTCTGTGCACTGAAAGCAGTCCTGTAGAGTTGAGGTAGCATCATCTGGCCAAACTGTGATGAGTTTTTGAACTGGTTTGGTGAGTTTCAGAAGAGGTCTGTATGCTGGAATTAGCATAACAGAGATGTGATCCGAGTACCCTAGGTGGGGGCGGGGTACAGCCTTGTACGCGTTCTTTTCTGTTGTGTAAACAAAGTCCAGTGTGTTTTTTCCCCTTGTTGCAAAGTTCACATGTTGGTAGAACTTTGGCAACACTGTCTTTAAGTTTGCGTGGTTGAAGTCACCGGCTATTATGAAAAAGCCGTCAGGGTTATTGGTTTGTTTTTCGTTGATGGCGATGTACAGCTCGCGAAGCGCGTCCTTAGCGTTTGCACACGGGGGGATGTAAACTGCGACAATAACAATGGCCGTGAACTCCCGCAGCAGATAGAACGGTCGACACTTCACAAACATAAACTCCACCAGCGATGAGCAGTGTTATTATTAATAATTATTATTATTTAAAATTATTGTCCCTGGATTAGTACTCTTGTAATAAAGTCGCAGTGGTAGCGGACAGATTTTAAGTATCAATTCTGCTTAAAAAGATGCAATCTAATCCTGTTTACATGAAATAAGCCTGCTCTCCGGACCTGTTGCTATGTTGCTGTTGCTTACGGATGATCTTCGAAGAACCAAACAATCTAAGAGCATGCAAAGTCGTCAACAATCAAATCCAGCTAACTGAGTTAGCGACATACGAAGAACGGGCCCCAGGCCTGGTCCTCTCTCATCCAACACTGTTGTTACTCCTCTGTCGGACTCGAGACCGTTGAGGGGCACAGGTGTCGCTCATTATCATTTACTCCACCGTCCTCGCTCCGCTCCCACGGCTATCGGCCCCGCCCCACTCGTCACATTTATTTTGTTTTCTTTCTGGTAATCTGGAACATTTTATGAAAAGCCCAAAATTTTAAGACTGACCAGTGCCTGATAAAACAATGGGTCTCATTCACTAATAATTGCATGGATTATTTCGTATTTGTACGGACATATATAATACAATTAATGCAATATACGTCCATATAATTATAGTCATGCTGGGATGAAATATGACTTCTTAAAACGATTAGCTGTAAGGCCGTATAAAGTAAGTGCTTTTTGCGTACGTGTGGTTTCAGTTGTTCCTATATTTTTTCATAAATTTCAAAATTTGTGGTGAATTGTGATTTGTTCTTAAAATCGTTCGTACGCACATTTCATGAACAAATTTGTGCCTATGCATGCTTAGTGAATGAGACCCATTGTTTTTGCCTGTAATATCTTGCCGTAATAGTCCAATTCAGAAATTTCAGCATTAGAAATTCACAGGACAATGTGTAGCTGATAACATCGTTTTAACAATTTTATGTTTCATGTGCATTTTTGCCCTGAGACCTCATCTGTAGCAATGTGTCACTGATGATACTGTATATAGGACAGAATATACATGTTTTATAGAGGATGTATGTTGTATATGCTATGGATAAACAGTATTTTTCCCATCTTGTTTCTGGCAGGGAGAGCGAGGACCACCAGGGCTGAATGGAACTCAGGGACACAACGGTTGCCCTGGAAACAGAGGCATAAAGGTAATGTAACATACCATTATCACTGGAGATGCATCTCTTGATGCCATTTTTATCAGTGCAATGTTCTGCTTGGAATTTCTGGATTTATCTTAGTATGCAAGATAGTACAGTACTGTATTTCTTCATACACCACTTGTTAATAGAACTTTAAACTGGTACTTTTTCTGTTTCTACTTTCAAGAAATAATCGTTAAAAATAAGATTAATCAAAGAATCAAATTGTTAATATAAAAATAAAATGGTTTAATATTTTGTTATTTGTTGCAAACACATTCATACATTAAGTGTGAATACATTTTTTTAGGGATAGATACATGCTACCTGCAAGACTATTACTAACTGCATGGCTAGGCTATGTTATTGTCTGTACTGTATATGAGGACAGGTAAACCAGATGAGTTTTACAGCTGTGCTGAATAAAGAAAATGTTTTTAAATCTCATTTCAATAGGGCCAGAGAGGCTACACTGGAAATAAAGTGAGTAACACGAGTTATTATTCTATTCACTGGCTGTTTGCTCTATAATTGCACCCACTTTTACAGTTATTTTGGAAGAAAATGTAAACTGAAAAAGACAAAAAAAAAAGATTTTCTAAAGTGCTTTCTGAGAGATTGTTCTGCTGTTTTCTTCTACAACCACAATTTACATCTCAAAAATAATGTAAAGTTTTTTGAGTATAGTTGTCTTGTCTCAGTCAAACTTACATGAGAGGCAAAATTGCATGACATATTAAGACTATTTTCATAGAATCTTTTTGCAATACCATATTTTTTAAACTTGTTTTATACATTAACAAGTAAAAAAAAAAATATTGAAAATTTTGCTTAAAAGGTTCTTGCACACTTTTACTAGAAAACAAGTTCAGATTCTCATTAATAATGATGATGTTAACAGTTTTCATGAGGCAGTTTTTGTCTGGCAATTTTTTCCAAGCTGCAGATGTTATTTTAGAGTCTTAAACAAGTACAATTGCAATTTTTATTTGTTTAGTGTTGTTGATTACTTCCCTAAACAGACTGTAAGTGTGTGTGACCCTTTGACCTCTGTCTGACAGGGAGAAGATGGGGAGGATGGGCTGGATGGAGTGGATGGAGAACAGGTCACAATTATCTCCTCTGCCCCTTTTCCACACTTGCATTCACATGTACTATTGTAAAATAATATATAAATTAGATGTAAATATATAAATATTTGAATTTGTTCAAAAAGCAGAGTAAAGTTTATTTATCCATGTTGGAGTAGAAATTACAGAGTTTAGGTAGCAAAAAACTATGTTGTAAATTCTAAATCAATACAAAATATGCAATATACAGAGAAATATCAAATGTACAGAGAAATAGGTTTGTGAAGATATCTAGATGGAATTAAGCCTTTTGTTTTATGTAAATCAGTTTGAGTCTTGTTTTCAGTTTTTTGTGCATGAAAAATTTGTCTTAGGTTATAGACACTTAAATGGATGCAAGAAAGTTGACAATACACATACACACTATTAAATATGCATATATGCATCAAAATGCACCTATTGATATCTGACTTTGAAAAAAATCAGAATTAAAATCTGAAACGCTATGTATAAACCGTCTATAAAGTATAAAATTCTCTCTTTCAGTGTAAGTCTATAGGTTTTTTGTCTGTTATATCCACCACCAAGCTAAATTTGTTCGTTTGACCACTTATTAAAGTAATATCTTTTGTAAATATCCGTAATCATATGTATGATCAAGTAATAGTATAATTAATTGTGTTTGAGGAATATCAGTAAAGTGCTGCCTTGTAAACACTGCAGTAATTTAAACCCATAAGTGGGCAATGAAACTGCTTAGTTGAGCACTGCATCGTCACTAAATGAGTTATTGAGTCATTTGATTGATTCACTGTACTCTGTTTCTGTTGTGTGCAGGGTGATGCTGGCCTAAATGGGCTTCCAGGACCTAAAGGAGACCCAGGCAGTGCTGTAACTACATCACACATGTGTTTGATCACAGCTGTCTACTTAAAACAACCCAGTGGCTTCCTCACTGTTATTTCTGTCTTTTAGGGTGTGAAGGGTTTCAGAGGCAGTCCTGGACCTAAGGGACACAGCGGAGTGAGAGGAGATCCTGTAAGTATTTCTGTGTGTTTATAGTAGCTGTTTTTTACCGTCTAAACAACCTGACTTGATTTGTCTGTACAATGTTCTCTGTTTACGTTACAGGGTGCACCAGGAATAGACAACACAATTCCAGGTCCAAAAGGCGAGAGGGGAGATACTGGGCTCCCGGTGAGGGTCTTTTTTTTACACTCCTTCTGGAAAATGTTAACTCAATTTGTTTGTGTAAGAGTGAGAGAATGTTTCTGTTTCAGTAGCGATGTGTCGTAAACCAAATGTTGTATAATTACATTCTTCCTCTGTTATTATGCATACACTACTTTAAAATCCTCCCATGCGACTATGGGTTTTGCAGGCTGTCAAAGTTAGCACATTTACACTTGTGATTAATTATAAGTTTATGTTAACACCACTTACACATTTGTGCAAGTTGACACAGCCACAATTGTTGCTGCTTCTTAATTGACCTTTCTTTCTTGGCTCTTGCTTTGACTTTCATTGAAGAAAAATTCCAAATTAAGAACTTTAATAAAAGAGAATCAAGTGACCAAATATCAGAAACATGTACAATTTAGAACCACTTTTTTTTTTTTATCATGTTACAAGAATATGTGACCAATTTCAGTAAAATGTGTTATGATTGTGTTCTGTTGTCAGGGTGACCAGGGCACTGTTGGACCCCCAGGCAGCCCTGGAGATAACAGTGATCCTGTGAGTATTACCTGTACTAGTACTACACTCTCAGAAAAAAAAAAAAAAAAAGGTACAAAGGTGTGACTGGGATGATACCCTAATCTTACAATCCTAGTTTTGTACTTCTTTTCTGAAAATGCATAGTTTCTGTATTATTCAGTATCCCTCTATCCTGAGATAGTTTAATAATCATGCTAAATCACTTTTACACAATATCATTGTCACGTTGCACACACACACGAGGGACAACTAATCAGGACAGGAACAGTAAACTAACCAAATAAGGGCATGGGAAGGCACATGGGGAGCAGGACACACACAAAACATGGAACAGAGTCTGACAATCATATTGCATTTTTTGATTTACATGTGTTACAGGTAGATATAGACTGAGGTTCAAAATATTGGATCACCTTTTTTTTTTTAAGAAGTTGATGCTCTTATTCAACAGGGACAAATGAAATTGTTAAAAATGTTGCAAAAGATTTCTGTTTCCAATAAATGTTGCTTTTCAAACTTTCTGTTCATCCAAGAATCCTGAAAAAAGACACTGTATTTTGGTTTTCACACTTTTCAACTATTTTCAGCTGTGATAATAATAAAAATGGTTTCTTGCCAAATCAGCATATTAGAATGTTTTCTGAAGGATCATGTGACATTGAAGACTGGAGTAATGGTGCTGAAAATTCAGCTTTGCATCACAGGAATAAATTACATTTTAAAATATATCGAAAACAGTTTTTTAAATTGTAATAATATTTCACAATGCTACTGTTCCTACTGTATTTTTGACCACAGAGACTTTTAGAGGTATTTGAGCAGTACCTGTGTTAACGTTTTGTATTATGATTTTCAGGATAGTTAACATTAATTGCCTGGATGTCCTTTTTTCATCCTTAATGAAGTTTTATCCTTCAGATAACTTCTCAGTGTATTTTGGTAGGGTGCTCCAGGAAGAAAAGGCCGACCAGGATTGCCGGTAATGTAGCATGAAAAAAATACAAAGATTCTGTTCTTAAATGTTCTGTTCTATACCATTCTTTTCTAATCTTGTATGTTGTAATCTATTCCTAATTCTAACATATTCTATTGTTTATTATATTCTTGTATCCTGTTGTTGTATTTATATTCTGTTCTAATCTATTCTGTTCTTTTTTCATTTATTCCATTAATCTCGGAACTGTTAAAAAAGTCAATTCTGTTTTAAATAACATTCTATTTTCTAATCTGTTCAATTTTGTTCTTGTCTAATACAATCTGTTCTGGTCTGTTCTGTCATGGTAATGTGAGGTAAATGTGTGTATCTGTATAGGGTGAATCTTCAGGTGAAAAAGGAGAAGCTGGACAGCTAGGGCTTCCTGGTTATCCTGGACAAGTGGTGAGAACTAGGACATTTCACCTTTATTTAAAAAGAAACACACAGATAAGAGATGTCTGATGTTAGTGTTTGATTCTATGACCTGTTATACCTCCCTGATCTTTTTTTGTTCAGGGACCACCAGGCTCAAAAGGGTTCCAAGGAGACAATGGTCCTCCGGGTGCACCTGGAATTCAGGTGTGTATTCAGTTGATTAAACTACTTGCATGTTCATGCTTTTTCTCTTAGTGTACAAAACATATGGTATAGAACACAGAAAGAACAATACAATGAATGTTGAGAGAACCATGTGTGTTTTCATAGGGTCCCTTTGGCCCACCTGGACCTGAAGGTTCAAAGGGAGGTCGAGGATCCAGAGGGCCAAGGGTATGGAAGACTGTTGTATTGGTTTTCTTCTTACTTCCTTCTTTCTCTTTTCCTGATTCTGTGAAAAATGCATGAGTTTGTTTCTTCATTGGAACAGATTTAGAGAAATTTAGCATTACATCAATTTTGTTAGAACTGTTTTGGACTGTTTCCACTTGTAACAGTCTTTGCTGATTCAGATAAGACAATAATAATTTAAAGCAGTATATTATGGATAGATGACTTGTATTTTAGCAACGGTAACAACAGTTTGAAGTTAAAAACATCTTAATAATGGATTTGTTTCTGACAAACACGCAGCTTTTCACTTCACAAGATGTTAATTGATGGACTGGAGTGGTGTGGATTACTTGTGGATTATTGTGATGTTTTTATCAGCTGTTTGGACTCTCATTCTGACGGCACCCATTCACTGCAGGGGATCCATTGGTGAACAAGTCATGTAATGATACATTTCTTCATATCTGTTCTGAATTATGAAGAAACAAACTCATCTATTTCTTGGATGGCCTGAGAGTCTGAGTTTTTGTGTGAACTATTTCTTTAATACCTGGTTGGTCTCCAGTATATTATGTAGTAGTGCTGCAGCCATATAATGTTGTAAAGAAATTCTGTGCTCCTCTTTTCACACTGTCCCTGCTTGTGTTTAGGGTCCACCGGGTGACCCAGGGCCCAAGGGAACACTGGGACCAGAGGGATTCAAAGGGCCTCTGGTCAGTTGTTGCATTTGTGCATTGTTGATTTGAAAATCTTAAAATGCCCATCTAAACTATATGAAATAGTTTTGTGCGACTTTCCAGTCTAATGTATGACTTTATGTAAAAAGGGACAAGATGGAAGAGACGGGTATGGACCTGCAGGGCTCAAAGGACACAAGGTATCTGTGCTATATCTGAAACATGCTATAACTTATTTTACAAAGCGATTTATAAATATAATGCAATTAACATCAAGAGCAAAGCTTTGCACATGAGCAAAGTGCAAAACATAATTTTCTGGAAAATACAGTTACTTGTTTTCTTTCTTTTGTGTATGTTTATGGATATTCAACTAACAGAATAAAATTGTTTTCAGGGAAACATTGGATACTTTGGCCTCCCTGGTTTGCAGGTCTGTTAAAGCTAGTTAATGATCTGTTGCAGCTCATCACTAGGCATTTTATGTAATTGTATAAATGTTAATAATAATAATAATAATAATTTTAAATTAATATAACATTATGTAACATTATTAATATCAGTGATTATAATAATAGGGTGAGGATGGTACCAAAGGATCCAGTGGAAGTAAAGGACATAAAGGTTATCGAGGAAAACCGGTACACTTTTAAATTATATTATTTTACTTAACATTATAGAGAAGTTTATGTATGTTTGTAGTATACTTTTTGGAAGTTATGCAGTTATGTTGTATTATGTATTGATGTGATCAGGGAAACACTGGTCTCCGAGGTCCTCCAGGTGCTCCAGGAGAGAATGGGATGGACGGACACAGGGTCAGTCAATTGCAAACACTTTCTTACAGAATAAATAAATTCTTATATACATCACAAAACATTGTCAGTTTAATCCTCTGGTCCTCTTCGGTCAGAACTGACCGAAATAAATATATTTTTAATTTTTTAATTTTTTTGCTTCATTGGAACGGGAAGACACTTGGTGACTTTTGTCAAATTAGCTATGTGAACAAAAAAGTCATGGACATGATTCGAATATGTTAAAGAGTCGAAAAATAAAAAAGTAACACTACCATGGAAACAAATTGCATAAAATTTTTTAAATATTGCATAGTATCATAAAATCATCTCAAAATTCTAAATAATAATAAAAAATATTATTGGACAAAAATATTTTACATTGGTTTTCGTAAAAAATAAATAAATAAATAAAGTTACATTTCAAGGATTCTGTCACTTTTGACCGCGTAGGTAGCAAGTGTGACCCAAAAATGAAGGCGGGTTAAGCAAATGTAAATAAGGTGTACTGAGATATTTATCTTCATATTTATTTATTTATTTGTTTGTTTATGTATTTATTTAATTGTTTATTTAATTGTATTGTATTTTTAGGGTGAAAAAGGAGCTCCTGGAATCAGTCCAATGCCTGTAGGTTCACATTAAGATAAATGATCTTTAAATAGTATTAAATTACTCATCTGTTCCAAAAGTTTAATTGTTTTCCTTCTGTCCTTATTTTCTGCTTCTGAACGTCAAGGAATGTGACCTGGTCGAACACATACGCAAAAACTGTCGTAAGTTCAGAGCGCCTAATATCCAAAGAATGCCAAGCAGAATGACTGCTAGTGATTTTAGTCATTAGCATTATCTCATTCAATTATTTTATTTCTCTCTTCGTGATCTCTTATATGTGCCATTTAGCTTTCTGTATGTTAAACCTTGAAATCATTTGAAATGCATCTAAATTTTATCTTTCATTTTGTCTCCACAGCTTGCTGCTCCGGTATGCGTTGCCTTACACTTTAACATTTCAGTGCCTCATTTATTAGTAACTTTTTGCGAATTGTAAATTTTATTTATTTATTTTTTTCTTTTCCAAAATGCTTTCAGGTAATGGTACCCGGTGTCCAGTTTACCCCACAGACCTGGTGATAGCATTGGACATGTCTGCGGGTGTGACTCCTCAAGTGTTCGAGCGGATGAGTTCTGCGGCCCAATCTTTATTGGAAGACATTTCCATTGCTGAAACAAATTGTCCATGGGGAGCTCGAGTGTCTGTGATCTCCTACAGCAGCGAGTCCAGGAACCTGATCCGTTTCGCAGACCACCCTAAGAAGAAGAGCCTTCTGGAAGCTGTAAGAACATTCGCGCTAGAGAGAACCACAAAAACTAGAGACATCGGACAAGCCATGAGCTTTGTGGCCCGGAACATCTTCAAACGTGTCCGAAAGGGCAGGCTTATGAGGAAAGTGGCCGTGTTCTTCACAAACGGGCCGTCGAGGGATGAATCGAGCCTTGCAACAGCCATGCTGGAGTTCAAGGCTGCAGATATTGGCCTCGGAGTGATCGCCTTCAATCCTGCTGATGATGTGAGCCGAGCAATGCAGGTAGATAAGAAAACATCAGATTTGCAAATGCAAAAAATGCAAGTCACCTTCATTTATATTTATTTATATTACTCCACAGTAATAAACAGGACAATAACAGTGTTAATTTTGCAAAGTTCTTCAAATACAATTACAGCTGTAAAGTAGCACAAAACAGACAATAGTGTCATTATTCAACTCAATTTGGTTCAATGTGGATTCAGTTCAGTTCGCTAACAATATCAGCGGAAAGGTTATCAGTTATGAAACAACCACAAAGCAGCTCTATAAAGTATAATAGTGTCATTATTGAGCTCATGTCAGTTCGGTGTTGATGCAGTTTAGCTCAGTAGTGATGCAAATTTGTAAAACAAGCTTAATCCAGCTCTACAAAAGTCAGTAGTCTCTTTTTTTTCAGCTCAAGTCAGTTCAGTGTTAATTCAGTGGAGTTCATCAATTATGAAACAAGTTTGATTTAGCTAAATGCAGCTCTATAGTGTTGTTATTCAGCTCAAGTCAGTTCAATGTTGATTCAGTTCAATTCAGTTCAGTTAATCAATTATGAAACTAATTTCAGTCAGCATTAGTGACTGTGATGACAAAGAATGAGTAATGCATGCTTTTTTCAAATTAGATTAAAAATGTTATAAATATGCAAGAACCAGTATTTTGTGAGGAATGGATTTTTGAAATTTGTGGAAAATCAAAAAAATTGTTTTTTTTCGGATAATTCACTAGTGCTCTCAGCTTTGAATAAGAGTAATTTCTACCTCAAATATCTGTCTCAGGTTGATGACACAGGAAGCTACATTATCGTTGATGGCAGAGGAGTAAATCGCATTAAACAGTGCATCATTTGTTTTGGTAAGCTCCAGTGCAGACATTCACATTTGATCCTTTTCATCTCTTTGAGCATCCAAACATTTAAAGGAATAAAAATTAAAGCTCTGTTCCAAAACCTTTGTAGACAACATTTTAAGTAGTCATAGACAAGGTTCTGATGCAAAGTGTAAGCCATTCCAAAATGTACGCAGCATTACGCTGCCTCTTAAAATATCTAATTTTATTCAAATTCCAAGGGAACATTTACACAGAATGCATTTTTCATATTTAAAAATGCAAGACACAGGACAGTGGAGGGGAAAGATTCAAGGTCTAGAGATGCGTTTTTTTTTTTTTACTTATTTTAACTTGAGTGCTGTGTTTTAGAATGTGGTGTCATGCTTGCAAGTTGTAATAGACACAAGATATGATTGCCACAGTCAAACATGTCTGTCTAGCCCATGTTTATGTAGTGCATGAAAATGCAGAAACACATTCTGTGTGAATGGCCCCTAAGGCAGCAAGTATAATGCATTGCAACAAGCTCAGTAAAAATCCTTAGTGGTGGACAAAGTTAAAGAAATGTTAATCCAAAAAGTGCATATTTGACCAAAATTAGTGTGCATTATTAATTTTATGCTTATTAGAGAATTATGTCATTATCTTAGAAATGCCAACAAGCCAACTTGAGACCAATGAGAAGTCAGTCCCATTAATGCATTGCAACAAGCTCAGTAAAAATCCATCTACTGCATGATGGTGGATGAAGTTACAGAAAAGTTGATTCTAAATGTTTTTTTTTTTTTTTTAAGTGTGTTTTCTTAGCACATGACACACAAAGTTGCTGCCTATCTAGAGTGTTCCGAATCAGTCATTGATGAGGTTCCATTTCTGTTAGGATGCGGCTTATGTAGGTAGGTTTTGGATCATGGATGTCTTTAATTACAAGCCAAGGGTTTTTATTCTCTCTTGCCAGATCGTTGTAACCCAGACCCAGTGTGCGGTGTAATCCGGCCTCCACCCCTGCAGATGGATTTGGACATGTCTGTGCTGCTGGATGGGTCTGATAACCTGAACACTCAACAGTATGTAAACACGAAGGAGCTCCTGCTGTCTCTGTTGGACCGGATCGGTGTGAGCAGCGAGCCGAGCAGAGCCGACGGAAAAACCAGAGTGTCCGTCTACCAGCAGAGCTCCGTTTACGGCTCATCTTACATCAGCGAGGAGTTCAGCTTCACCACATTTAAAGATCGCAATATCATGAAGAGGCATATTACTAATACAGTGAAGCAAGTGGGCGGGACATCCCATCCTGAGTTTGCTTTGGAGAGGCTGATTACTAACATTATCCTTAAAGCAGAAAGACCACGAAGCAAACGAATGGTCATGGCTGTTTTTGGTGAAGATTCGGAGCACAGCAAAGCTCAGCTTGATTATTTGTCTAGACTGTGTAAGTGTCAGAATGTTGTGATGTTTATCCTCATGGCGGGACAGAGATTCGACTGGACACAGATGGAGGAGCTCACCAGTTCTCCTCTGGAGCAGCACCTGGTGTTCCTGGATGACAGAGATTATGGCACACGCTTCGCTTACGCCTTCCTGCATATGCTCCACAGTAAGAAATATTCATGGTTGTGTTTTCATAAGGCCGCTGCGATAGAACTGCTTACTAACATGGTCTGTTTTGTAAACTTGCAGACTTTTTCCTCTGAAAATTAACAGATTCTAACATCCTCTTTCATCATTTGCAACATAAATGTTTTTTTAGCATCTCAAAAAACATTCTGTAGAGTTTTGTTGCCTTTTAAGCAGTATTTAACCAGCAACCTTATTGTTTAATTTATTATAGTTTTATTATAGTTCAATTTAATTTGAAAGTTTTGTCATTTTGTGTTTTTGTCATTTTAAAAAGTTTTCTATGAACAATAGCCCAAAAGAATCTGTATTATCTGCTTTCCTCATCTTCTGAAAATTAACAGATGCTAACATCTTCTTTCATAATTTACAAGTAGTATATAACCCAAAATATTATTATTTATTAAATTATTTTCACTTTTATAAAAATTTTGAATTAATTACTTTTATATTCTTAGTTTTCTATTCAATTTTAGTCAGAATTTTAGTAATTTGTTTTTAGTTGTTCTTTGTCACTGCAGCATGCACTGAGTTATGCATATTCTTTTATATTTAATTTTAGTTTAAGTTTTAGTAATTATGTTTTTGTATTTTCCATACATTTTTTTAATAAGCTCACATAGTTTTTTATTAATTTTTATTTCAGTTTTAGTTTTAGTTATTTTAGTATACATAAAATCACAACGGTTACTGCATGAATTGTGTGTTTTCAAAACCATTTTGTACAGTCGGTTAAGCTTTGGGCTCAATAATTAAATGGTTTTAGGGTCTAAAATTTTTTACTTGTTGACTTTTGAGTTTTTGCACTGTGCCAGAAATGGGAAACCTGGGTTTCATAAAACATATTTTGTTTTTATTTGCACATCGAAATACAAACAGATGCTGCAATATTGAACACTAATTAGCTGTACAGGACACATTCTGTGCTTTTTAATGATATGAATGTGTCTAACTGTGTTTCAGAGATATTCTGCCCACTGAAGCGCCCACCGAAGAGCCCTTCACAACAGAGGAACCTCTGGAGGAATATGAAGATGTTTATGATCAGCAAAACACAGAACCAATCACTGAACCCAGTCAACTTGATGACACTGAACAATTTACAGAAGAGCACAAAGAGGACAAAACGGAGCCCTCAAAGACTAAAGGTGGTGAATCTAGATCTTACTGGCCAATTTAACCCTTGATTTAGCTTTTTTGGAGTTGCACATATCTCTGGCGTAGTTCTGTATCCTCACTCACATTAAAAATGCACAAGCTTTTCTGCTGTTTCTCTGACAGAGTTCAGTATTCAGTGCTGCAGGGAATTAATGGAGTGTACTGTTTGTTTCCAACAGCACGATGCTTCCTTGAGAAAGATTCAGGCGGTGCTTGTGGATCGTATATGTCCAGATGGTATTACAGCCAGCAGACTAAGAAATGCATGCACTTCTGGTACGGTGGTTGTGGCGGAAATGAAAACCGATTCTTGACAGAGGATGAGTGCTTTAGGGAATGTGTGTCTACAGGTAAATTGACCAAACTTGCTTACTGATATTTAGGCTGTTCATAATCCATTTTTTTTTATTGATGTAAATTATAATTATTTACTTTTTTGTTTAACCCTTGGTAATAAAAAGATTAAATCCAATATTTAGTAATAATATAGCATAATGAGAGATTCATAAGCAATTTTTTGTAAGCTGGTCATATTTCACCAGGAATACCACAAGTCTAATAAGGTGGGAACAAATCATACAAAACGTTGTTATACCCTGCATAAGCAAAGTTATTAGATTTGAGTGCAATGTGAGAACATTAGCATTTTCATGAAAAAGAAAATTCTCTGTTGGTCAAAATTATCGGAAAACAGCAATGGGGTTGATTTATTATTATTATTATTATATGTTAAGCATTTTTTAAATATATTAATATTTAATGCATTAATTAATATATTAACGTTTTAATGCATAATGCATTAATTCCTCTTTTACATATAGTAGTTTAACTATTTATAATCATTTAATATTACATTTTTAATGTATATATTGAATGCTTTCATGTAGGCCATTTACCTGTAAAGAGTTTTGAGATTGTTCAAACTTCCTCCACAGAATCTGAAAATCCTCCAAAGGATGATTCCAGTATCAAGGGTAAAGACACATTTACTGTTCTTGCCATAGACCGTTTTTTGTTTTTATATAAAGATAATTACAATTCCAATACCCTAACCCTAACCATAAAATATTTAGCATTTCTAGAATGAAAAAAAATTAATCGCATTATGATTTATTATTATTATTATTATTTTACTTTTTTTTTTTTTTTACAAATGGAGATACATACGAGGAGCATCTCTGATTCACTAAAACAATAATGCAAATCAAGTATAAAATTATTGCTGAACTCAATATGCATGGTGAAATATACAAGTATTAAAGGTGTGACTTTTTAAATTTGCCTCAAACCCATCAGTCTGTTCATTATTGTGTGTAACTTAAAACTTTATTTCTACTTTTTCTGCTCATAGACATTTGCCAGCTCAAACTCGATGCAGGATCTTGCTCAAACTTTTCAGTGAAATGGTACTTCAACGTCCGCAGTGGTGGATGTGTCCAGTTCTGGTACGGAGGCTGTGACGGGAACAGCAACAGGTTCGACACTCAGGAGGACTGCGAGATTCGCTGTCTCAGGGCCAAAAAAGTATCTCCAAACATCTAAACTGTGATATCTAATGAATTTTAACTGCTTAATTCTTTCATGGTCATGATCATATTCATGATCATATTCTCATCACGATTGTCAAATGGCAGCCATAGAAGCAGTTTTAGCTATATGTATTTGTATATTTAGCTAAATGTAAATGTATATTTAGCTAAATTTGAGTGTAGGAAAGATTTGATTACAAGAGCAGAATTTTTAAAGGTGAAGTTTATAATGATGTGTCATTAGTTGCACCAGAAAGAACTGCAAAAATAATGATTCACTTTCAGTAATTTCAGCCATCGCTCGGTTAAACTCATGCCACTTTCTGAGATAATGTTGTTAGACAGCTTAAACGTACAGATTGCAATTCTGTTTGGTGCCATTAGCAGTGCAGAAAAAAACATTGCTCACATTTAATTTAAAACGTAATTTTGGATTTTTGTTTAAATCACCTTTATAAAACCTCAATTTCACAAAATTCCTTGAGTGAATTAGATTTTTTTTTTTAAATGCACATTGTCATCAAGACGACTGTTAAGAGGAATAAAAACACTATGAAGATAGGAGTGTGTTGTACAAATTTCAAATGGCAGCCATAGAAGCAGTTTTAGCTATATGTATTTGTATATTTAGCTAAATGTAAATGTATATTTAGCTAAATTTGAGTGTAGGAAAGATTTGATTACAAGAGCAGAATTTTTAAAGGTGAAGTTTATAATGATGTGTCATTAGTTGCACCAGAAAGAACTGCAAAAATAATGATTCACTTTCAGTAATTTCAGCCATCGCTCGGTTAAACTCATGCCACTTTCTGAGATAATATTGTTAGACAGCTTAAACGTACAGATTGCAATTCTGTTTGGTGCCATTAGCAGTGCAGAAAAAAACATTGCTCACATTTAATTTAAAACGTAATTTTGGATTTTTGTTTAAATCACCTTTATAAAACCTCAATTTCACAAAATTCCTTGAGTGAATTAGATTTTTTTTTTTAAATGCACATTGTCATCAAGACGACTGTTAAGAGGAATAAAAACACTATGAAGATAGGAGTGTGTTGTACAAATTTGTATTTAAGGAGGCTCACGGTTTTGTTTTAATTGTTTTTGTTGTTGTTGTTGTTTGTTTGTTTTTTCTTTAATAAGTGTTTCTGGAAAGCCCCTGGATATAAAACCAAAAAACAGTCTAAACCGTTAACATTTTTAGGGGATGTCGTTTTTTTTTTTTTTTAAATCACTAAACATTTAGTGATTGAGAATAAAAAAAACTTTATACTGTAGGTTAGTTATTTGAAAATTATTACACATTTATATAATCTGATCTGCTGTTGCATGTATTTTTAGGGTTAAGATGCATGCCAGAAGAGGGCGCTGTCTCATGTTTAAAGCTAAATTGCATTCTGTCTTTCCCAGTTTAAAGGAATAGTTCACCTAAAAAAATGTGCTAAAAATGTACTCACCCTCAGGGCATCCAAGATCTAGATGAGTTTGTTTCTTCATCAGAACAGATTTGGAGAAATGTAGCTTTCTATCACTTGCTCACCAATGAATCCTCTGCAGTGAATGGGTGCCGTCAGAACGAGAGTCCAAACAGCTGATAAATCAACAAATCCATCAAGACATTTTTAATTTCAAACAGTCCTCTAAGCATAATAATGCTTTCTCCAGTGATAAAGTCGTCTCTGAATCAGGAGCGGAATATGCAGTTTGAAGTTAAAAATAACTTGATGGATTTGTTTCTTAAAACTTGCAGCTTTTCGCTTCACAAGATGTTAATTGATGGACTGGAGTTGTGTGGATTACTTGTGGATTGTGATGGCCTGAGGAGTACATTTTCACCAAAATTTCATTTTTGAGTGAACTATTCCTTTAATATGCAGAGACAACTATAAGTAAACCATTTAAAGGTCGATTAACCCATTTGTGTGAGTTTAGGATGGGAATAATGGTTTGTTTGGTAAACTGTCATTAGTTTTGCTATTCAGTATTCAGCTGAGGTCCCAGTAACAACACAAAATATTTTTTCAATTCCATTTATCAGATTTAATGACAATTAATGTGTTTAATATAGTGTAGTAAAAGCACACATTAAATTGAGAAAGTAGTACAATGACTTCAGTCCTGTAATTCCCATATTGTTATCGACCACCGTTGACGGTCCCGCCGGTTCAAGTGCAATCCTGGAGGCCGGTCAGAATCCCCCGTGGTTATTATTGCTGATGTGAAGCATGTTCAGCCCTTGTTTAGAGAGGAGGATAGTCTCCCTCAGAGACAGTATTGAGAAAGCGCAGGGGAATGTCCTTGAGAGAAACATCATATTAGCACTGGAGAGAAATTCTCTGATCGGCAGTCCAGAAAATACTGAAAATGTCCTATAATCATTCATCTTGTCTTATAGACAATTCTCTCACAGCATTTAAAATAATCGAAACCAGGCTTGATATCATAATGAGAACATGTAGAACTAGCAGAAGCACTATTAGAATGTTTACTCAGCCCTACTACAATCCCTTTTATTAAAGAATAATCACTATATACTATAAGGAAATATACACAACCATTCTAAAGTATGATAATAGCATTCTAGTATCTAACAGTGTTGGGGAGTTATAGATGCTTTTTTCAATAAATCTTTTACAGTACAATGATTTAAAAAAATAAAATAAAAAAATGTTAGGCCCAAATTTAAGAGTTATGTATTTGAATTACATATAATCAACATCCACTTGGATTACACAGTTTTAACATAAACTTAAAAACTTAATGTGATGCCTATTTGTCAGTCATAGATAAATAAAACAGGTACAATTTCTGCATTAAAACTAACTATTTGCATCTACTGCCAATTTTTTATTTAAAATGTATTTATTCAAATGGCTTATCAGCATAAATTTGTTCAATGGGGAAATGTATTTAGTTAAAAAGTATGAACATCGTTAAAATATGTCTAGCTGTGGAACAGGCAGTTGCAAAATGCAGGAGACTTAAATTGGATTTATTAATGATACACATATAAATCTGGTTAGTGTGTATTTAAAACGCAGTCAGTTTACTAGTACTATTACAGAAATCTGACCCATTTTTTCATTTATCTATGACTGACAAATATGCAGGTTTATTAGTTTGCTGATGTTAAAATTGTGTAATCCAAATGGACAGAAATTTTAGATGCAATTCAGAAAGCTTAAATTTAAACCTAAATATTTTTGGAGTGTAGTGCAGCTGGCTTTAATAGCTTATCCACAAACAAGGTACTGTTTAGCACCCAACATTATCACCCACTGAAATACAGTAATAATCAAACATGCTCTCCTAACATTGCAGTGTCTGATTGATTTTAGTAAATTAATTCAGATTAAAATGCATGGCATTTAAGTATTTTTTAAATAGTGAAATATTTTGTTAAATGTTGCTGTTAATTTTTTCAGCTTGGTTATATAAATTAGTGAATTCTAGTCATATTGTCATTTAATGTAAATTTATCTGTTTATCTAGTTGCTCTAATTGAGAGCGTTCATTTAGTCGTTCAAACTCCTCGTTGTTTTTGTGCCTGAACAAATCTGATTACATTTTTAATTAAAAAGTGTAACTAACTACATTTTTCAGAGTATCTTTTTCTAAATTCCATCTATTTTAAATTAGGAGTGGCTTACAGTTTGAAAGTATCTCCCCCAGCACTGCTGGTTTATTATACCAGTTTTGTTTGTCAAGTATCTCTGCAGGTGTAAACAACAACAACACAATCAGAAATAGAAGTAAAAGTCTTCTCATTATGCTGGAATGAGAGCTGTCAGTCAAATTATTCCACAACATTCTTTCATCTCTCTGTCAAATCATTTCAACCAGTCCAAAATAAGCCACCTGTTCTCCGGATGAACGCTTCTCTCCCTTTTGAGAAGCGAAGCCATTTGAATGAAAATATTTTGCTTTAGAGTTTGGGAATGGGAACGCTGGATGAAACCTTGGAAGATCCTGGCGATGTCAAACATCCATATTTAGGACTGTTTATTAGTCAATGTTCTAACCATTATACAGTGGGGTCCAAAAAGTCTGAGACCACTTTCTTGCTTGTTTTCAATTTTATTTTAGAGTTATTTTATTTTTATTTACTATTATAGTATTTATTTATATTTTGAATTAGCTTTAATTTTTATATTTTCAGCTTTCAGTTTAATTTTTAGTAATTTAAGCGCTTGTTGTCATTTTTATAATTTTTAAACAATATATATTTTTTATTTTAGTTTTAGTAATTTTAGTATCTATATTTATTTCAGTTAGTTTTGTGTATTTTTTTTTTTTTTAGTTTAAGTTTTTCATCTAAAATTAGTTTAATTTCAGCTTTATTTCAATTACCGAAAATTTTGGTCCGAAAATTGAAAATCTTGAGCTTCAATAGAACTAATCTACCCATGCATACTTTGTCACAAATGTACTAATATCAGAATTAAATATTTCTCATTCACTTTTATAACTTTTATTTTGTTTAAAATATTTCAAGATCCTTAAACCTTATGTATTTAACTGTTTTTTTAAATCCCAGATTTTTAATGTGGTTTCAGACATTTAAACACCAACTCGGCTAACAAGGAACATTCTCATAACAATGAGAGAACCTTGCCAGAACGTTAGCCAAACGTTAATAGAACGTTCATTCAGAGTTATGTGGTCTTTAATAATGTTCTGAAAACATTAACACACACACACACACACACACGTTTTAGTGGGACATTCATCTAACATTTTTCTTTTAAATGTTACTTCTTGTTTCAGAATGTTCAGAGAACATTCAAAAGCAACAATGTTTGCAAAATTCTAAAATGGAATGTTCCCTTAATGTTTGTCTAACCCCCCAAAACTTGGACGTTTTGAATGTTCAGAGAACAGATGTAACGTTTTCGTAACATAGGAATGTTAGCAAAACGTTCCTAGAACAAATTTTTGTCAGCTGGAAATATATGTCCTGCATTTAGTGGCTTACTACAGATTTACTTTTATTATAAAAGCCTTCATCACCATTGAGAGGAATGTGGATCATGCTATTTGAATTGGGTAAAAGAGAAAACCAGATAAAGGAGCAAAGCTCAAGAGTTTAAAAGTTTAAAAGAGATGATTTTGAATGGGTGCGGATCTCCTTGCCGACACCAGTTGTTTGTAAAGTGATAAAGAGAAGTGAGAAGGGTCTTTTTTCCATACATTTCTTTCAGAGGGGTTTCTCCTGTCCAAGAAACAGCCACAGATTCGGTCTAATCTCCAGAGTGGGCCTGTGTGAAAGTTCACCTTTCTGGCCTCTCTTTCAGATGCTCGCTGTGCCGGCAGGGTTATTCCAGCTGTTTTCAGGAAACTTCCAATATCCCTGCTTCCTGTTTTGAGGATGAGCACATATGGCCTCTGTAGCCGTGTGGTAAAAGCAGAATCCATTGAAGCAGAAGCCATTCCTGTCACACTTTGATAATGTTCACAGATGGCGTTCGGTTATTGTTGTTGTTCTTGGGGAACTGTGGAGAGTGGAAGCATATGTCTGATGTTAGTGAGAGGATTGGAGGGCAGCCTGGAGCGATCAGCAGAGAGCATAGTGCAATGAGTGGAGTAATGAAAAAAGAAAGATGCGAATGATAACTGTTTTGAGCAGCATCACATTTATCGTTCTCAGAGAATGCAATCACCATAATGCATTGCGAAGCAAGACAATTGTTAATTATAAAAACATATAATTCCTTCAATATATAAAAGTGTTAAAAAATAAACAGTAAAAACATGCATATAAAATGTATAGCAGGTCAGTCTATTCTATTCTATTCTATTCTATTCTATTAGTATTTACCCAATATTTGGGTGCGCTTTTATGCTCACTAAAATATCATAGCATCAGAGTTTTTGTAGTTAACTAAAATTAAATACATAAAATAAATAAAAATCAGTTAGTTGCCAAAGCAACATTTATCATTTTCATTTAGTTTAACTCAATGTACTCAAATAAACTAAAACAAAAAAAAATGTACAGTATAAATATACTTATAAAATATACAGTAGTTTAGTCAATTGCATGTTTTATTTTGTTTTATTTTATTTTTATCCAATAGTCCTAATAAAATATCATCAGGGTTTTGTAGTTAAATAAAATTAAACCCATGAAATAAAATAAACAACATTTATCACTTTCATTTAGTTTAAGTTGATGTACTTAAAGAACAAACTGAAATATAAATGAATGAAAACTACACAGACTTATTATTATTAAAAAAATAAATAAAATTAAAATAAAAACACACATAAAAAAAATAATTACTAAAACTTTAACGGAAATTTAAATTACCCCGGAAAATAAAAAATAATTTAAAATATTAAATTATTATAATATCTCAATAACACTAAAATAACACTATTAAAATCAAATGTGAAATGCATTATGGGAGGTGCATGTTTATAGTCCAAGGAAATTAAGACTTTATTTATTTATTACTAATGATCAATAAGAAAATTATTATATTTATATTTTCTTGTGAGACATGAACTGACAATTCAGGACGGTTGTACCTGCCTGTGCTGTCTGAACTCTCATAGGGCAGTGGTTATACCTTACTGTGCAGCAGACCTCCTGATGGATGCTCAGGGGTGCTGCATTCGGACGAGTTCTTGGCTTTATCCTTGTTATTGTTGGGCTCGTTGTCTTTGATGATGTCATACTGACGGCAGAAGAGCGCAATCACACCTGAAAGAGACAAAAATGACAAACGCTGCAGATGTGCAATAACCTGTTTAATTAACCATCCAATAAATTGATTGTTGCAGTAAATCTGAACGTTGCAGCAGGATTTGACTGATCCAGTGCTGCTCACTCACCTGCCCACATAATCAGAACCACCACAATGATGATGAGCTCTCCTGCCCGGAGCTGAGCGTTCTGACCCACTTCTTCCATGGTCACTTCGTCTGTGAATAACACAGTGGTGTGTCAAACATTGATTATTAATTATTTAATTCATACTGATAAATTAGATAAGATTAGAATCTACAGGTTTTATAATATAGTAGTACCTTTGCTCTTGGAGGCCTGTGTTTCAACTTCTTTGGGGGTTTTGAAATGCAGCGGTTCACTGAGGGGACTCGGCCCGCTTGTACTGATAGACTGAACATGCACTATATAGTCCGTATCTGCCTCCAGATCCCACAATGCACAGTTCCGCGTGGTAGTGTTCACTTCTTGGATAAAGCGCAGCATGCGAACATCTTTTTTCTGTTATGGATAGATGAAACAATGTTTAACCAAATGCTTTGTCTTGACTTTTCTCTTTCTCTCTATTTAACCAGATGCTTCATGAACATACAGATATATGAGTGCTGAGCATGTGACCTTTCCTCCCTCCCCTC